TATATATATATACAGTGGTGGCCAAAAGTGTGGACATTTTTTGAAAGCTTCATGTTTTTCAACTTTGTGTGCTTGTAGAATATATTAATTTTAACTTAAATGCAAATCAGTGATTCCCAAAGTGGTCTAAATCGACCCCCAGGCCAGGGGTCGACGAAAACATGCAAGGGGCCCATGAGAGGAAAATGGGGGTCAACGATAGTGGATCTCATATAAGCAAGTAGTGCCTTTAATTTTTGCATTTCATGAATGGAATAATCAACAAACACTGATAGTACCTATTTACTTACATTATACTACTTTGAAATATAAAGAAATATATCTATCTACATTCTACATAATTTATAAAACTATTAAGTAAAAATTTTATTAAAATTTAAGTTCTTAGGATTATTTTCTAATATATGAAACTGATTTATTATAAACTAGCAGTTGCCTGCAGCTCCGCTCGCGTGCGTTTTTATTTTCTCTGCAAGTAAGGTTTTATTTTGTAACAAAAAAGTATATTTCAGACGTAAATTGTAGCCTAGCCTGTGTCAACTCTTTAGCTAGCTAGACCTCCAACTTTATCTGCGCACAAGATGGCGGAGATTTGTTGCTTACTTTTTGCGAGAAAATGTAATAAACAGACCGACAATACACTACTACAGTTTTGTATACAAACTTATTTCCGGAATTATAATATTAGTAGCGGAGTAAAGTGCACTATTTTATTCAATTGACATATTAATCAAATTAAATTAGTATGTTTCATAAAATTGTGAAAGTGGTTGGCATTCGCTTTTTGGTCGAAATACAATTCGAACTTGTAAAAACGTGCACATAATGCATGTATACTTATCCTGTATTATGGAATATCGCGGGAAAGTTTTTAATTGCCTTTCCATCTTCATACCTAGTGGCTAGTGGAAAAGTGTTTCAGCGCAGTTGCCAATCTCCTAACAAAAAAAAAAAAAAAAAAAAAAAAAAAAAAAAAAAAAAAAAAAAAAAAAAAAAAAAAAAAAAAAAAAANAAAAAAAAAAAAAAAAAAAAAAAAAAAAGAAAGAAAGAAACAAGAAAAAAAAATAAAGAAACGGACTGGACATCATTAACCGAGGAGATATGAGATTAAACCTAACTAAATTAATGCCAAATGCTGATAATTTACAGATACTAAACATAGATGATAATAACAGATACTAAATTTTAATTAGGTTTGTTTTAATTTGAATTTAATTAATAAATGCATAAAAATAGTTTAAATTGTGTTTTTTTTTCTTAATTTGTTCACACTACATTTCACTGCAGTTAAAAATTTAAATCTTTCACAGTGAGTAGCACTATACCAGCTGTCAAAAATACATTTAAAGTTGATGAATTTACAAAAAATCTATATCAGGTAAGCAGGGGGTCTACCCAAAATCGAAAAACTTTGTTAGGGGTCTGCGAGACAAAAAGCTCAGGAATCACAGAGTTAAACGGACGAACCTCTTGTATATAGGCTACTTCTCCAGCAGTGGGTCTGATGAATTGTGGAACTCCATCATTGGTAGAGATGTCACCGATGACAACCAGTAGATGACAGATCGAATGCAAGGGGGGAGTTCCTCTGTCCATGGCTTTGATCTTAACCGTGTAGGGCTCACTACGTCCTTTACCTGAAAGTGTCCTTATGACGGAAACCACTCCTGAAACCGGATCCACAGCAAAGAAACCTACACATTCAGAATAAGTTATTATTTGGTCAAAGTGAAATCAAAAACTTCGAAAAACTATTTACCTAGAATTGTTGAGATTTGAAATACTTTAGATTAGAATTTATTTTCACTATTGTAATTTCTGGGCTGAATTTCATTTAATAAAATTTTTCTGGGTTCCCACATTTCATAAAAAGAATAACATAATTTAAGCATTTAAAATATTTCTGACTACCGGGGCGTATCATTTTTATAAAGAAATTAATTTTCCATCTGCACGTGGAATTTTTATATCTATGCATATAGTTTATGGGAATAGACTTCTAAATCTTAAAAAAAGACAATAAAAAAATATTTGTTGAATTTTTCTAAGCAACGAGTTTCGTGCAAATAGCGATTTGAAACGAATTTTTGCTGCATAATTACAAGTACTTTATCTTACTGAATTCGAGATTTTCAAATTCGAATCAGTTACGAGAGCAAAAAATTTTTTTTTCAAAATGATATTTTCAGTTTAATAAATTTTTTTTCCTGAATTTTTAAGTTTAAAAAAAGAAAACGTAAAAGTTTATAAACATACATATACATTTCTCTTATCCTCTCAAAATAACACCTAAGGACCGAGTTATAAAACTTTAATGTATCATATAAGCTAAAATTAATTATCACCATCATCCTACCACTCCTTTCGTGCCAGAGAAGTGGGGACACTTAGTATTTGCTTCAGTGAATTTAAAAGACAAATTGATTAGGAATATATTATTAAATTGTATAAAAACTGTAGCTTGAAGACAGAAACTGATTTTAGATTTGAAATCAGTGACGCAAAAATATCTCATTCAAAAATCTCATGCAACAGAAAACGAATTTGTTCCGCAATGATATTATTAATAATTTTCTAACTACTTACTTATATTTGTAACTGCTATGAACTTGTTATTTTTTTCTAAGAGAAAGAGTGAAATAAAAATCTTGTTACAATCATCTAATATTGGAAACAATGTATGAATGATTGCAAAGTTTTATCCAAAACGTTATCCAGATATTTTTCACTTCTCATAAATATTTATTTTCTCTTTCTGTAAGACCCCAGAACAGATGTTAACCGTTTGTAAAAATTTAGAATGAAAAGATGAATAATTTGCTAACTCAATATATCACGGTCTATAATGTTTGTTGAATATAAGAGTAGGTATATACCATTTTAATTTCTTGATTAAGGGTAAAATCTCAGTATCAGTATCAATGAAGGTTAACATTTAGTATATCACTGATTTGGAAGGGGAAATAAAACGGTAGAAGACACATTTAGACTAACTTAAAACTTTTTCACCTAAATCGCTGACTTCATTTCGGTTAAATACATATAGTGCGGCTTTGAGGAGAACTCCTCCAGACTGAAAATCTGGGGCTGTCTGCTACTGTTATAACAAGGGAGAGCACATTTCTAATGGGGGTGAAATGGAGAAAATAAGGCGTCGATTAGTTTACTCGCGAAGACCTACGCCGAAATTAAGACAAAACTATTCACCCCACACCCCTATTCGACGTATCCTTTCCTCGTAACCATAGTACCCGCCACGACGCGAGACGGGTGTCTGGAGGAGTTCTCCTGAAAGTCGCACTATAAGCACTGTGGAAGGTTGACTGAATGTAAACAATAACAAGTTTCCTGAAATCGGAAGAAATTTAGAAAACTTCCGGTATTTTGCCAACTTACTGATGGGTTGACCGTCAGCATCATCCTGTATCAGGTACTGCACTTCTCCATTTTGTCCGCTGTCAGCATCAGCCGCCTTTACGGTCACAATACTGAATTCCGTGGGCACATTTTCAGGAATGACAGCTGTGTAGATTTCTTGGCTGAATTTAGGTGCATTGTCATTCTCATCCAATATTTTAATCACAACCTAAATGCGAAAAAAAAAAACATATCACTTGCATGGTCATGGAAATATTCAAAAAAACTAAAGAAATTACATTTCTGTACAACTTTCGCTGTTAGGATTAGAATTTTCAAATAGTAATTGGCAAATTTGGTCAAAGCAGACTGGGTTCTTCGTTCAAATTTTATGTCCCTTAGGGTGTCAGGGAATGTCCTATGATACCATAGGTGTGTAGGTGATGTACGCCACAATAGATGGAGCTTGGATCTTTCAAACGGAACAGAGTTCCCTATAAGTAAATGAGGAACCATTCACTGTTTCGCCTTCATTTTCCTTTTCACCAATCTATCTGATACCTATATAAGACTTAATAATCGCTAAAAGAAATTTTTGAATGATGACAAAATTAAATTGATTTTGTCTTATCTTAATTGTAGTTTCGCTACGACTTAAAACAAAGAACTCTAGGTTTGCATCGATGCATTAGTCACTACAATGACCTAAAATTAGATGAAATAGATCGATACCTTAATAAACTTAACGCTTCTCTTTTCAAGGATGCTCTAAACTGTTCTACCTGCTACTTTCACAAAGTATTAGATTTTGAGTTAATGGACATAAATGCTACATTTAGTCTTGCCACCGCTAACTTCATTAATGATGGTGTACTCTTCAAATATTTTAACCTCAATTTAGACTAATATCTCAAATTTAGAAAAACTATGCACTCTGCACCTGGCAATCCCGGCTACCGGGGGTGACGATTGTGTGACCCTTTTTTTTCTAAGCATTTTAATAATTTTTCGTGTATATATTTATTTCGATTAATTCATATGTTATTTACTCATATTCCATACTTCGCTCTTATACGATATAGAAGTTTTTCACCCAACTTAGATCTAGCTTCTTCCCTCTCCCTACCCTTAATTATTATTCAATTCAGATGAAGGAGAAAACCAGGGTTGCGTACTCTGATTCAAATGTATCAGTCAGTCATTATTAGGCATCGTTTTCCAGATCACAGCAGCCCAGCAGTATTTTTTAGATTGGCTAAAATTAGCAGTTCTGGTTTACACTACTATTTATTTATCCCAGGATCACAGTACCAATAAAAAATTTGCGTTTAAATACTAAAGTTACTTTAGCGACATAAATCATTCAAAAAATTCTTACTATGATTGATGTGCGCCTTTGATTGGCCAATCCTTTTGGGTTGTCCGTTGCAGTGATTTGCAAGTTGTAAGCAGTCTGGCGTTCTCTGTCCAGAGTGGAGTTTTCTCTTATAGATATAGTTCCCTGTAACACACAAGTTTTGAATTATATTGAAAGTAAACACAAACAAAACATTCGTGGTCGACGAAAATTTTAAAATAGGTGATGTTGTTGTTGCAGTAGGCCATTAAGACAAGGGGTGTTGTTCTTGTTTTTCAGTGGCACCATCTATGACCAAACACTCGACTTCCACACCTATACGTCACACCCGTTTATAGAGCGGTTCTATTCATGTATCCATTCATTCATCCACAGATCGTCATTTTGACCTGAACCATAAAACGACCCATTTCCAATTCAGTACCCCCAGAGGTTTGATTTGTTAAGGGAACTTGCAGGACTTTCTAACCTGACAGATTTAATGTGCACCTGTCACCATTCACTACACGGGGAGTCTCTTCTTCTGGCTGGATTCAAACTCCCGTTCTCACGAACGAGAGTCCAGCGCCCTGCCAACCAGACTATCCCGGCTCCAAAAGAGGTGATAAGACGATCATATTTTGAATTATATTTTTAGTATTTGCTAAAGAACAAAAATATTTATATTTCAAGCTATAATTTAACCCTTAATTTACCAACAAAGCTTTTAACCCGTTGTATCACCCAGCCTCATCATTTAATGGCAAAATGTATTTTTTTGAAAAGTAAATGGCGGTAGAAGCACAATTTCTTTATTAACCATTACTTTTAATCTGGAAAATCATTTTATATCCACGATTTATACTTAAAAAAAAATTTCTTTTCCGTTCAGAGCCGCGATGGCTCAGTGCTTAAGATGCCGAATTGTCATCTTAAAGGACTGGGGTTCGATCACCAGTGGTAACTTGAATTCACCCCCTCCTCATCTTCAGATCGAGGGGTGGCAGCTTGTCTAGGAAACAAAGACAGCTTGCGTGCAATGCCGGTCACATTGCCGCTAGTCATGAAATTGTGGTGTATCAATCTCAACGTGCTATTGTGGGAATGCTTTTCTTTTTTATATATGTTAAAAATAAACAAACTACGACCACTGCAAGATGAAACTCTTTTAACTGCAGCTGCTGACTCTTAGACATTCATTCATTAAGATCGCGCAACTTGAAATTTTCTTCCTGAGACTATAAGCAACATCGTTGTCTTTAAACACGTTTTTTAAGTGATCACAATTAGGATTGAAAGTTGGCCGTTTTCAAGTACAGTGCTTCCATTGTCAAGGCTTCGGACTTATAAGCAAACCACCAAGTGCGTTTAGAAAGATTTTTCTTTTGAAAGTTCCACCCTTACGTATTGCAAATTGTTGTAAAAATCATACAGACAATTTTTCTGTGTGCGAGGTCTTCTCCAAAAGATCGCCTCAGCAGGGATGCCAACTACTCCGTTTTAGTCAAAATATTTTTAAGTGGATGAAAATTAAGAATAAAAACTTACAGAATTTTGGAAGAATTCATCAAAGGTCTAAAAGGTTTAAGGCTCATAAAGGTTTAAATGAAACAAAATGTTGTTATAATATATGAACCAATTTTTTTACTACCGTCGTTGAACAGTCGACTCAATTTAGGATTTATGACAATCAATGTTCAACTACGTAGCCGTGTAACTTTGAACTTAATCCAGAAGACAAGGGAATTCTTAGATCAAGTATTGGGAGAAATTTGCAGTCGTGAAGGACAAAATCGCATTTGCTTTATATGGTGAGAAAAACCACGAAAACCTTCCATGGTTCTATCACTGAGGATATATTTACGTCAGCACTGCGGTCGGTGTGGAATTCGTATTGACCTGCCATCGCTGGGGTTCGAAACCGATTCACCTCATTGGATGCCCTGAGTCACCACGGCTCTATATCGAATCATTTATGCATAGTTGTTTAAAAATAACTTTAAATAAATGTATTGAACTAAGCATCATACTTAAAAGCATAAATTTTGCCACTATTTAGAAAAAGAAGCGTTATCACAAAGGGGAGCAAGTTGGCAACTCTGCCTAAGCAGTATCAAATTAAGAACTCTCTTTTCGTCGACAGCATCTAATTCGATTCTAAAGATCCGATTAAGTTCAGTTTGTAAATTTTCGAGAAATCGAAAGAGATTATAAAAATGATATTCAACCTCCACTCCAGGCACTTAGGCCAAAAAAACTTGTCAGACTTTTCGCGTGAAAGGTGATGTGAGAGTGACACTGTCTTTTGTTTTTTGAGGAATATTAAAATTGGTGAATTCAATTCTGTATATTTTGGTTCTGCAAACTATTGCTTAGCACAAAAAATCACCATATTATGTAAAGAAAAATGTTAAGAGATGTGATTATTCGAATGCTGAGTCATGCCTATACTTTTGCATCAAAGTAGTGGCTTTCAAACTCTGCTCTAATCACTCGCTCGCCCACATTGAATCCAAGTACAAGCCACTTTCGAATTGAAAAAATATGACACGTGGCTCGCGATCCACAATTCGCCGACCACTGCATTAAAAGGATTGGGTTGTTATGGCCAAACTCAACATTAAATTCGTCAATGATGCTAAAAATAATTCCGATGGATGCTTATAATTATGACAGTCGTGGGTGGTTTTTAGACCTCTACGATTTTGCTTGAGCACGCTCCTCCTACTCCTTTTTTTTTCTTCAACTTATCTCAATTTCGCCATTATTCACCGTCTCTTAATTCCGGCACACACCGAGATATTGCAATCATCGTAAATCGGTATTTTATTTAAGCCATACTAGAGTTGCACAATGGGCTATTGGCGACGGTCTGAAAAACATCCCCGAGGATGATCCGAAGGCATGTCATCCTCTACTGAAGGGATGACTCCTCTGCTTTGGTAGCCTCACGGCCTGCGTGTTAAATCGAGCACTTCACACGGTAGAACAGTTTAACGAAGACTGATACCTTCGGTGCAATCTTCGGTCACTCACCCGCTTACTGACAGCGGCCAGTAATGCTTGACTTCGGGTCTTCTACTGGGAACCGTGTCTTTACGATCAGTCCAATGAGGGAGGATTAGGAGGCAAGGGTTGAAGCGAAACGAACATACTTACAGAGTTTTCGTCCACATCGAAGACGTCACTACCATCGCCAGATATGGAATATTTGATTGTTCCAAAACCTTCCTGGCTGTCTTTGTCAGAGGCTATCACCGTCAATATACTTTGAGGATATTCAGCAGATTCCGAAATACTCGTAGTATAAGACTGAAATATAAAAACAAGTGAACGGATTAAAATCACGTTCGTTTTGAGAACTTTTGATTTTATGAACGGAAATATCTACACTTACAGAAAAATGTTTCAAATTTAAATTTTAGAAATACACTCAAAGTTAAATTTATTACTACATTTGTATTTTATTTTTACTGAACTTGCGTTTTAAAAAAACGCAAGCCGCATTTTCATAAGGAAAGCTTTTAAAAGGTATTTATTTGGTTAGAAAAATTAAAAATTGAACATTGTTTAAAAGTTTATAAATGCTTTAGCAACTTTCAATGTTTTATTTCTTTCCTGTAAAGTTCATTTACATAACATCAAGTGGTTTTCATGCATCTACTGAAGATAGATTGATTGATGGATAGAGGGAAGATAGATTGATCTACTGAAGATGATGATGATGAGAGTGATGATCAATTGACAAGTGAATGATAATAAACGTTCTATAATTCTTACCAAGTCATAAATAGCTTTCGGCTGAATTCCTTTTCACACCACCTCAATAATTATTTTAACTCTCACTCTTTAATTTCCTTAAGAGCAAGTTGCATTTGTAACTTCGTTATTTCTGTTTGTAGAGGGAGAATTGTTATTTATAGGCTATATATCTTTCAAAATTTAAGAAAATAGAAAATTCTAATTTTAGACAAGAACAAGCAGAGTTTTTAATTTTTAAAACATTAGCCTATTAAAATTTGATTTCACAAAACGGCAAAAATGATTCTATTAAAGAATGGTTTTAGCATGTTTTGATAAAGTTATGATTTCGCTCTTTCAAATTTAATATTAAAATGCGGATGATTTTATAACCCAGTGATTATAGTAGTGAAACAAAAAAGTACTTTTTTGTTTCACCTATGGTGCATTGGTCTTTAAATTTGTTACATTGTATAATGATATTTTTGCCCTTTAAAATCAATTGCAAAATAATTAGAGGGAACAGGAGTTAATGTGGACACTTTTTATTAATTTGTTGTCTATTATTCTAGTGGGTGGCTCCTCGGTTATACCATTCTGATATACATAAATATATATGATACGATAAGAAAAAATAAAAATGGAAAAGAGGCTCTGTACTTTATTTATACAATTTGCAATATCTCTCGGCAAATATTTATTATTTTATTTCATAAAAGTCGAAAAAATTTTGAATTGCTAAATATACAATTTTTACAGCATTTTAAAAAATATAATTTTCAATGACAAAAGACAACATTTGAGCGAAATGGGTTCTGAGTAAACGAATTTTAAAAAAGTCGCATATTTAAAATTTGATTTCTCTGGAACTATTCCATCAATTTCACTAAAATTTCGTATATTGCGATATAAAATTACATTCTTCAAAATCATATTAAAAATTTTATATCTTACAACTCGACTATTATTAAATAAAATAATAAAAAACAATAAATATATACTAAAAGTTATTTTTTGCATTGAATCTTGGGATAAACGAATTTTTGTTTGAAGAACAGTTGTGTGCAAAAAAGTTTTCAACTTGATTAAAAAGTTTTTGGGATATGCCAAACTACGTAGAAGTTAAATTAGCATTAAGGGGTCCAAACTTTGGATCACTTTCCTGATCAAAATGTGGGACTCATATTTCCCAGACCTTCTATATTTTGGGGATCAGAAATCCGAATCCATTGAAAATAAGGTATGTACATTCAGAGATAGTAAATTTTTGTGTCTAATTTCGAAATTTCGCCTGCTCTAATTAATTCGCATACTTGAGGTTTCCTGCTAGATCTATTTAGATTGAGTACTAAAGCGTGAAGATCTGACAATTAGAACAAAAGTTATGCAATGTGGACCATTTATTACTATTATTTGCGCAACTCTGAACAATTATATATATATTATTATTATATTACGATTTTGCTTGAGAACGCTCCTCCTATTCCATTTTTTTCTTCAACTTATCTCAATTTCGCCTTTATTCACCATCTCTTAATTCCGACGAATCGGTTTATTGCTGCTTTCAGCGGCACACACCGAGATATTGCAATCATCGTAAATCGGTATTTTATTTACGTCNATTGTTAAGAATAGTATATATATATAGTGATAATAAAATATTCAATAAAATTACTTCAGTTTACTTACCATATGCAATTGAAGTAATGACTAGTAAATAACTGTTTAAAGTTTTGAAAGTAATATTAAGAATTAAGTTTTCGTAATATTATGAAATAACCTCTTTAACGAAAAATACTCAACGATTGTAGCAGTACGTTTAGGCATTGTGCACAGACCGCCTTTACTTAACAGACAAATAGGTAGTTATGCTATGTATATCAAACTTATTTTTCCATTCTAGTTACCTTTTTCTTAAATAGTAAATGATTATACAATAAAAACAACTATGTTCACTCAACGCATGCCGTTCAAAATAATGAATAGTAACTGTTTGAAATTCTGAAGCAATATTAAGAATTAAATCTTCGCATTATTGCTAACAAACCTCTTAAATAAAAAGATTTATCAATTTATTGCTGAATTTTAAATTAAGTTAGACTCTCAAAAACAACTATGTGGAAAAGGTTATCAGACAAAAGTTATATCAAAAATTTTGCCGTCTAATAAAACTTAATTATCTGCCCCCACCCCTCTTTGTTAACGCATGAGGAACTGCGTCAACTAACTTTGTGATGAAGAATAAACTTTCAACCCTTATTTGGGTTGCACGAACAGGAAGACCACGTAATGCTTACACGAAACTACTTTAACACAAACCGAGTATACTTTTTCATTTATTTTCCATAACGCCTGAGTTATTTTTGTGAAAACTGTAACTTGCATCAAAGCCCATGATTGATAACTTACAAATTTGTTAACCGCATAATTTCAAAACTAAAAAAAGTTAGTATTTTGGATGTGAAACATGACATATAATTTTTGGTATAAAAATAATTAAAGACAAAACCGATATTTGTCTTTAATGCACATTATTCTTAAAAATACTTATTAAGTAGACAAGGATAATAATCTAATAAAAATCAATCGTAATTTCCTCACCATGATAAATATGACAGTTGCACAATAATTATAAAAATAAATGCTTAAAATATCAATGTTTACAAAGAAAAAATTGTTATTTTATTTCAATAACTTTTTTTTTCCAAAATAGATTTAATGGCAAGAGTATATTTTCTTTTGTAATTAAATGTAAAATATTTTGGTACATATCTTACTTTTTCTTCTCAACAGAGAAATTTCAAAACTAAAAAAAATCGCGACATGTTCTATTTTTTCTCTCGAAAAGCTGTGAAATCGAAATTTTTTTTAAAAAAATCTCTACCTAGCCGTCAGTTCAAGGCTTGTCCCACACCCGCCCGGTAGTCTAATAATTCATGCAGGGCTGACGCAGTCTAGCTGACAGACTATAATAAAAGTCTGTATTTTGTTAATTTCCTTTCTATCATTTAAAATTTAATGGATCCTTCTTTAAGAGATCAGATGGTTCTCGTGCATATGCGTAACAAGGTTGGTGTCGCACGTTTCACGCAAAACCGCGTGTTAACCAACTCATCATGTCTCATTGATCTGAGAAGGATCGATTATAGCAGCTTTTGTTCAAATTAGTATAATAAAATTTAATTTTTTATTACTGGTAGTTTAAATTCATAAATTTTTTTTATATATATCCGTTTCAAGTTTCCTTTGTTATAGTTCTTTTTCTGAAATTTATTATTTCATAAACAAAAATAAATAACTTTAATTATAGTTTGCGATAATGTCTAAAATCTTTTATTCAAATACTTGGCTATACGGATGAAAAGTTAAAGTTACCCACAAAAGCCGATTCCTATGACATCATAAGAGGCATTTTTCACATGGCTTAGTAACGCCCACTTAAAACTATCGCAGCAAACGTTTACTTTTATTAAGTAAGTTTCACCTGTAATGCCCCTATGCAACTGAAACAAAATTCCCACAAAAGCCGCTTCCTATGTTATAAGATGTACTTTAAAAATGACTTAGTAACGCCCACTTAAAACTATCGCAGCCAACGTCTGCTTTAATTAAGTAAATTTCACCTGCAATACCCTTTTGCAACTGAAACAAAATTCGATGCTACTAATATGAAAAAATCTCCGTATCCTGATTCAACAGAAACATTTGGAACGTTTTTTGAACAAATCGATTCGGATTTAAAGTCGCACACAAAAGCTCATTCCATCTCATCAAAAGAGGTAATTTCAAAATGACTTAGTAACGCCCACTTAAGACAATCGCAGTCAACGTTTACTTTAATTAAATAAATTATATCTATAATGCTCTTATGCAACTGAAACAAAATTCGATCGAACGGGGTTTCTGCTAGATTGATACGAAAAAATGTCTGTTTCCTGATTCAACTAAAACATTTTGAACGACAGTACGATATCTTGGCTTCGAAGGCCAAGCTATTCGAAGAGCTAATTCTGACCAATCATGAATCAGATTTACTCAGTTTAATGGTTATAGTAGAGAGAAACCAGAGGGATAGAAGATAAAAATTTAGTTACATGTCACACATGTAAATAATAAGCTGATTGAACAGTGGTATACTAGTTTTTTTAAATTAAGAAAATTAAGAAATGCGAATATTTCGAATTACTTATTAACATTTATAAAGTAAAAACTATAATTTGATCTTCATCAGGGGTCGCTTTTAATCCATGCTTTTTACTTATTATTTATAAAAGTAAATTCCCAATATCTGATTACTTATCATTTTCTACAAAATAATTTCAACTACTTTATCCCGTAATAGTTCTTGATACAGGCTTACGTCTTTTGATCTGGTAGGATGTATGTGTTCAATGATGCATAAGTATTTTGGAATTGTAAAAATATTAGAAATCACACATTATTATCCTAAAACAAATGTTGAAAAGCACTTTTATAATAGTTTAAAAATTCAAAATATGCAATCATAAGAACTTAAAATGTTTAATAAAGAGAATCTTAAAAATATAAAACTTATCATCTTTGTACCGAAATCGTTTAAAGGAATTATTCTAAATCAAATTAACTATTCAGTGCTACTTAAAAAAATATTAAGAAAATGCTGTTGAAATATTTAAAGAGTTTAAGTAATATTTCAGCAGATTGATATCTATACATTAACTTTGATAAAATCAGGGCTGAAAGCCCATATATACGAGTATCAAGACGGAAAAGAGTAAAAACTGGTATCAAATAAATTTCATTTTTTAATATTTTTTCGGGAATAATAAAAATCTATAACTACCAATTATTTTTAACGGACATAATTTTTGAATCGTTTCTTCGCTGAGAAAAAATTTATACTGCCCTGCAACCGGTCCTGCCTGCATGAAATGAGCCGGAGCACATTTCTCGTACCAGTGTACAAAGCCTAGGACCACCCCAGCTACCAGTGTCATCTGTAACGGTGAGCACCCAGCCTGTTTTACGGGCTGCGGTGCAAACCCAGGAAAACAAGAAAAGCTCGTCCCATGAAAGCCACCGACACCGCCACCAGATTTTTGCTGCTCTTCAAGGAGATGAAAGAACTTTTGAAGGACGAGGAGCTTATTAAGCTTCTTCGTTCTCTACTCCCAAAACTGATTGCGGACTCACTTTTTCCCAGGATTTTCTCTATCCTGACGTCACAGTTCACCGCTGTGACTCACTTTTTTATCCATTTCTTTTAGATACCTATGACTACTAGTTATACGACCTAACAGAATCGACGAATCAGTTGGTGGCCCTTCGGGCCAAATACGGAGATCCTACTAATGTTAAGCATCAAGAAAAAATTAATTACAGTGGATTGCTTATTGTTAAGAATAGATTAACTCCTCCCAAATATTATCTAATATTGAAGTAGTTCTCCTACCAGTATTTCCTCTTTTCCGTCCCGCTTTCAGGCCTGGATAAGATCACATTTAAAATTCTATCCCAAACCTATAGTTGAGAAAACGTGAATGAATTTTTTCATTGGCGAAGAAAGAATATAGCACACGGGACTTAGATAGCCGCAAACCACGATTTCTATGGGGATGCCCTTTTCCTAACTATTTAACCAACCCAGTTTTTTCTCGTTCATTGTTTCATTTCATAAATCCTCTAATATAAGCAATATATCCTCTCAATATAAACAAATTTGAATTACTACTTTTTGCACATTGGCATAGCTTCCAACTACCATAGAATTTCCTTTGTTTCAAAAAGTATTTTTCCTAGTGTTAGTTAAGGTTTTATATTAACCCTTTGTACACTGCGTTCTTTCAACAGTTAAAGAAATGACAGCACCCACTAGAAGTTTACGAGAGATAACTCAAAATTTGCACGTTTACCGTTTAATACCTGGATACCACTAAATAAAGTAGTTACTAAACACTATGATAGTACTTATAGGGGTAGCTAATTTATGGGGGACTAAGACCCTTGTGGGGTAAATAATTTAATTAATTATTTTATAATTCCATAAAGTAGAATTAATAGTTTAATAAATTAATTCTATAATGATAATTCAATAAATAATTATTTAATAATTTAATAAATTCAATAATTCTATAAATTAGAAATAAATAATAATAATTTAATGGTAAATAATTTAATAAATTATTTATTATTAATAGTTATTTATTAATTGTAAATAATTTAATAAATTATTTTTTATTAATAGCTATTTATTAATTGTAAATAATGTAATAAATTTGAATTAAAAAAATATATGTCACCCAATGCATATTCAAGTGTCAAATCATCTATGCCATAATTTCTGAGTAGGCTATTTGTGCCGAGAAAAGAAAAAATGCAGGAAGCAAAATTATTTCCAGGCCTGCCAACCACTACGCTTTTTGCAAAATATTTTATAGAGTGATAAACATTTAAAAGCCAAATTAGTTTTGGTAATTTTGCTAATATTTTAAAAGCTTTACCACGAAAGAGCGAGACTTGGTGGATGTTTCTTGTGGCGAGAGATGTTTGGTGAAGTTCCTGTCCTCAGTAGCGACACCTCACTTATTTATCTGAAATTTATCCTACGGCAACTGGGACTGTTGGCATTGATAAAACGAGTGGAAACAAAGTAGTGTTATCTATGAACTTTTACATCATGGATATGTACTGACGTGGGAAATAAGTTAAATAAATTGAGCACCCAAACCTGCAAATGTATGTAATTCCAATAAACAATAAAGAAATAAGTAACCACTAATCTTCAAACCTCACTTATTTCATGTTTCTTTTTTTTAACTTAGAATTCACAATCCTCCCGACATCAATAGCCTCATTTTCACCATACCAGCTTACATCAAGTTATACCTCATATTTTTACATTATCTGCATATAACTACACAGTCAGAACTCAAGGAATTTCTTGAAGGATTTCAAGGAATACTCTTTTAACTTCATTTGCATTCTGCCCAGGGCTCGAAAAACCGCCCGTCCTCGGCGGTCAAAAATTCCCCGCGGACAACAAATTTCTCGAATCCCGCGTCCGCGCGGACGGCCATTTTGACGTTAATGTTCGTGATACATTTTCAATTTTTGTTATCTTACAAGAGTCTAGCGCCTCACTTTTAAAATCACCCTCTAATCTGAAAATACAGCAACATACTGCGCATGGTGGAATTGATGTTTTCTCTGTCAGGGAGTACTGCAGCGGTTGAAAGGGGCTTTTCATCAATGAACTTACAAAAAAAAAACACACATTACTTACTGGTCTTAAACAAGAAGCGTTAAACGCATTTATGAACATCTACCTAAATGGAAAACCTCTTTCAGATTTCTGTGCAGNTATTGAATTAGGTCTTACGTTTTGAGAGAATACTGGACTATTGTCGTTGATGTCCTGGACGTGTATGTTGACAGTAGCCTCACTCGATCTCCGACTTTTTACATCTCCAATGATGGCTTTTACTTTGAAATTTATCTGCTTCAAGGGCAAAGATTCAAAATCTAATCGGCGATTCAAGGCAACCACCCCTGTAGAGAAAGCAATTTATATTTAATTTACTGACAATAATTTTCATGCCATTTACTCTATTTACTTAAAAGGATGTGTTTATGGTAATTAATATAAATACCATGTTTTAAATTAATATATTAACTATAAATTTGACGAAAAAAATTACTAATTATCATTGTTTACATATAAAATCTTTGATACTTATTTTGAATGATAAATTTGTTAGTTTGCTTAAATACTTTTCAGATAATCTTTCTTAAAAATGTTTTTTTTTCTTTTTTTTTTGTTGCACAAGCTCGTGTTTAGTACATGCATGAAATCGTTTACACTGGGGAATAAATTTTTTGTTGCATTTATGTGAGTCATTGGTCTTATCTTATCCGGATGTGAAGATTTCAAATCTGAAATTAGTTTTGTTCCTCCAAAAAGCTACAATTTTTTTTTTAAATTATATTTTTAGTTTAGTTTATTTATGCGTGAATGTACAAGTTTGCAAAAAATGTCGAGGTTTATTTACATAAATATGAATTTGTCTGCTTCTTTGAAAATAATACTTAAGACAAGAAAACATATGATGCTAACGTATTCCTTTGTAGATTGAAATGTATAATCGCATTCTTTAGCTAGATAGAAGAACAAATGAGAATAAATTGAAATAAATTAAAGTATCATATTATGGGACTGCTTTACCAATGCTAAACGTATTATTTACATGAGGGTACATCTTTTATAAATGTAGACGTATCTATATTCTTATGTGAATTCTCTTATAAATCCCCATGTTTATAGCCTTATTGCGTGACCGAAGGGCTAATGAACCAAATAATTTAAAGCATCATATAATAGGATTAATTTGCTAATGCAATGACTACTATCGTATTTATAATATACGATTGCTTATCGCATATATAATATATTTGCATGTTGGAACATTTTCTACAAATGTAGGCGTTTCTTTGATCATATTTAAATATTAATTCTATGCATCACTTAGCTTATATCTTGATCGAATAGCAAACGTGACGAACTGAAATTTAAATGAAATCATCATATGATAGTATTACTTTGCTAATGACTATTGTACATTTAAAGTGATTGAGTAAAGAAAAATCTACTATAAATATCGACCTGAATAAAATTTATATTATCTGGTATATTATCTCTTACATTTTGATAGCTTGATCAAAGTGCAAACGAGATTTGTTGAAATAATTTAAAGCAACATCTTAAGGGATTGCTTGGTAATCGTATATTTATTATATTAACATAATGAAATATAATTTAAAAATGTAGGCGTATCTCTTTCCATATTTAAACTCTCTTATAAATCACAACCTGCTTATATCCTGATCGCGTGACCAAGAACAAACTAGATGAATTAAAATAATATAAAGCATCTAATGATAAGATTGCTTTGCTAATGGAAATCGCATTTTTAATATATTAACATGCCAGAACATTTCCTACAAATGTAGGCGTTTCTTTAATTGTATTTAAATTGGCCTATAAATCACTCAGTTTGTACCTTGATCGTATTTTTATTACTCAAGCTATTTTATTACTCAACCCTGTCTCGCCCCCGCCAGGGGGTATCCAGGGACTACTGAGAGATTACAAACATAATTATAACATGGGAAATTGAATACATTAAAGAGCATAAAATTGAAAATATTGTGGATGGTGAACAATTACAGATGGAAAGATGAAATCAATCAAAACACTTGATTTACAAGTAAACAGTATCCCCTGTATGTCAGGGTATGCTCAATCGCCCGCCAGTTCTGGAAGATTGTTTTCAAATGTTTTTTCATCATTTGTTCTATTCCCTTACTTATCCTTGGGACTGTCCATAATTTTTTAATGGAATTGATAGTCAGATTTGATGGAAAGTAAAGGCTACGGATGTCCCGAAAGTTCGGACAGGTAAGTAGTATGTGTTCAAGATCGTCTAGACAACCACACATTTGGCTCTGATTTGTTTTATTGTGGAATCTTGCTTGATACTTACCCTGGGTTCCGTGGTTAGTTAAACACTGATTAATATAGAAATTCGATAGGGTTCTCCTGTGGTTTACTTTCTTAATGAATTCGTATGTGTGTTTTCCCTGGTTTGAATTATTGTTCCATTGGTTTTGCCAATTTAATAAATTTTGTTTAAAGATATCTGCTTTTATTGAGTTTTTAGGTCTAATATTGCATAAATCAATTTTTGGTTTTTGACATGCTGATTTAGCCAGACTGTCAGCCTCCTCATAGCCACGGTAACAAACATGGGCTTTAATCCAATTTAACTTAATATTGTCCCTAAAATTTTCTTTAATCATTTTGATCAGAAACTCCTTCTTACCTTGATCGTATAACAAACGAGACGAATTGAAATAAATTAAACCACATCATAAAATGAGATTTCTTCGCATAAGGTAATCATATAAATTTAATATATTTGCAAGATGGAACAATTTCAAAAATGTAGGCGTTTTTGTAAACATGTTTAAATCCTTTTTTTTTCTTCAAATATCTTCTCTTATATCTTGATGGATAAGTGAAAAAGAGATACATGTAGGCGTTTCCATAATCATGTTAAAATTCTGCCTCATATCACTTACTCATATCTTAATCGAATAGCAAAAGAGACGATAGGAAACAAATTAAAGTATCAGATGATAGGATTGCTTTAGTAATGGAAATCTCATTTTAAATGAATATATAATGAAACATCTTCTACAAATGAAAACGTTAATCATGTGTGTATTCTCTTGCAAATCATCTCATTTATAACTTGATAGTTTGACCGAACAGCAAATGAGATAAATTGAAATGCTGTTGTGCAAAAGCATGCCACGACACCTGGAAGCTTGCATCTCCCTCCATAATGGTCATACCATTGACTCCAAGATGCCTACAAATGATATTTGCACTTTTTCAACACAAAACGACTATTTTGTTCCTTGGACGCATTTCAAACCTGCTAGATTTCAGAGAACTAAAAATTATATTTTTTTATTATCATGACATTATTTTATTTCACTTGGCATTTAACCTCATTTAATTTTTTTATGTTCTATGTAGCCATCTGCGGTTCGTTCTAAGAAATTGTACAGCAGCGTATTATAGATTTCTTTGCTAATGGTAATCGTGTATTAATTATCTCTACATTATGGAACTTTTGCACTAAAATAATCGTCAGATGACAAGGTACTTAACCTTTCGGGATGGGCGAGTTATAAATAGAGCCATACGGAATCAGAATGAGAGAAAATTAAAAGCTTAACTTTGACTGCATTATTTTTGCTTTTATTTTAGATCTAACACATGCTAACCATGTTGGTTAAAAGTGCAACTATATCATTTTTAATTTGGGTTAATTAGTGATGAATTAAATTTAGCATACTATTATTACCCCCCCCAAAAAAAAAATTGCTTTTCGTTTTTACCCTAATTGTCGCCACCCTGAAAATGCATATATGACTCACCCGTCTCGAAGAGGCTAAAATTAATAACAGGTTTTCTGATGGATGTAAATCCACCAGAAAAAGTGACTAATTTCTTTATACTCGTTAGCGGTACCACTGTTTTGAGTGCTTTATTCAAATTTGTTTATTTGTACTATAAGGAATAGCTACATAAAGCAACGATGGTATGTTGGAAAATGTTCAGTAATATAAAACAATAGAATGAAAGACATTCGTTCGAAAAATATTAATTTTTCGTTAAGAAATACTTTGCCTTTTTCTGTAGCCAGTTGAAATGCAATGCAAGGTTAACATTTATTTTATGTGAAACACAACTCGAGATGTTATTCATTTGTTTGAAAATGATTGCAGTTTAAAAGTTTTCTTTTTTTGCTTTATATAATGACTATTCATACAAAATAAATGAATAAATAAAAATGAACAGAAAGAGAGATAGGTAAGATGTTGGTAGATATAATTCTTAACATTTATATTATTACATTAACATTTATAATAACCACATTATCTAACAAGAACTCAACTCAGTTGAAATAAAAATGTTCTGTAATTATGATATATGTTTTCTTAACAAGTAAATTATTCTCATTTAATAAGTATCACGCATTTCACATTTCTTAGTTTAATTTTTTTGTTTTGCTTTAAGTATAAATCTAATAATTGCATATTTTTTTGACAAAATGTTCGTGAAAAATATTGATTTTTAAGAATAAAAGAAAAAAAAAGCTTAGATAAATGAAGAGCAGTAAATGGGGTTGGTGATCAGGAGTCGGCGTCTTTTAGCAATAAAAAAAAATTTATTCTAAATTTTTTTATAATATTTCAGCATATGTCAGCGATTTTGAACCTGTGGGGTGCATCCCCCTAGGGGGGCGCGAGCACACTAGAAAGGAGGAGCGAAAATAGCCAAGAGAAAATATTATTTAAAAGAATTGATTGACTGACTGAAAGAAAAGCACACATACACATAGAAAACAAAATACATTTCGACGGATTTAATAACTTATTAAAGTAAAACAACTTACTAAATCAAAACTTAAGGTGGGTGAGCCATAGGTGGCCATAGATAAGCTTTGAGGATTTTCCCTAATTTTCTGGTTAAGTCTATGTGGCTGAATTTTTCTTTTTTGTAGAATCTTACACCTATCTTTAATACATATCATGTACACTTTTAATTGTAAAAAAAAATTTCATTTATTGTATAGTATATTTTTAATATTGTAGCTTTTGAGCCTAATGTGGCCCACAGGTTCCAAAAATTGCCCATATATTGAAATCAATATCTTCTTACTTTCAAATTAGAACGACAACAGCAAAAAATTCAATTACTTCATACAATGGAGGCCATTCAAAGAAATCTCTTCCAATTCAGCCACGTGCATCTCAGATGCAAGATTTAAAATGCAGCAGAGCCATCTTGTGATTAAAATTGAAATTAATTCAATTTTTTTCAGGGGGGGGGGGCTACGTTAGGAACACTGACCACTTTTGGCTCACATACCTTACTTAATCAAGACATACTAAATTAAAAACAAATTTAATAATTATTGGTGACTTAGGCAAAGTTTTTCGAAGGAAGGCTTAGTATTAGAAATAGCCACTCTTGAGTTTTGTTTCTATATTTAGCCGAGATCTATATTTTGTCTTCAAAGGAGCCACAGCAGAAAATCTAGATTCACAAAGATAGAATGTTGAAAATGGAATGCGAAATACCCTTGTTTTTAGTGCAGAGAACTCATCTTCTACTCCTCCTCAAATTTCAAACAGTGATTTATTGCTAAATTGTCCTTTGGTTTCGCCTCTTGTCGTGATGTCTATGAATTTTTCTTCTTCATTAACTACGAGTCCTTCGGGAGTATATAGATCCCACTCGTAACTTGCTATCAATTTGTCGTCAGCAAGAAAACGCGTTTTAAAATTCTTTGCCAGCATGGCTAAATGATTTTTTATTCTCACCAACCTTTTACATGTTCCTCTTGTACGTTTTAGTACAATTATCCACATTGCAAACATTGCTAGGTTTTTGTTTTGCTTTAAATTTCTGCACCACAATTCTAATTTTCTACAAAAAAGCATTAACTCTATCACTCGTATCCAACATATGAGTATTTGCTCCTTGGAGTTGAAGATTCAAGTTATTTAATTTCTCGAATATGTCGACCAAGTAGATCAATTTCATCACAAATAAACCATCGCGAAAATTCTCGGCTTCCGGCCTGCTTTCTTCTTGTGGGAAAATGGTAATTTCTTCTCTGAATTCAAAAACACGCTACAAAAATTTCCCAAGTGATAACCATCTTGCCTCGTGATGAAATAGTAACGCTGAATGTACTGAACCCATGTCTCTACAAAGTGCGGAAAAGATTCTCGATTTCAGGGGTTTTACATAATTTACTACGGTCACGATCGTAATTAACACAATATTCAGACCAGGACTCATTTCTTTCGAATCCAAAGCTTCTCTGGGGGGGGGGGGNGGGGGGGGGGGGGTCATACAAAGAGTGTCCAAGCGCACTGAAGCGATTTTTGTTTTACAAGTGCTTGTATACTTTAGTATCTTCCGGATATTGAAAGAGCACCATCGGTGCACATTCCGACGTAATTTTTTCATTCTATGTTTTCCTCGTTCATAAAATCATTTAAAATAGCAAATAATGCGAGCGCTGTTGTCTTATGTTCTATTGGTTTGCAGAAAAGTAGTTCTTCTACTACTGACACATTATCACAAAATCGAACATAGGTAATGAAATCAGCATCTTTATTACTATCTGTTGCTTCATCAAGCTGTATTGAAAACAATTTGTCACGCAACCTCGAGAAAATTTAAGTATTCTTGAGAATATTTTCTTGATTTTATTTTCGGAACCACGCTCATCTGTGTACTTGTTGATGCTTGACTATTGTCTAATACTCGCTTACTTCCGCTTAAAAATTTATCCATGAGTCTGAATAAATCTGCTGCCGTGAATATTCAATATAGTGAATTGCAATTAACGCGAAAACATACATAACATACACATTCACGGATTGGATAGCGATAGAAGGATCGACTCGAATGAGACTGGTTGGAATTGAAACTTGCGATATTGAGCATCTTCCCATGAGAAAACATTTGCTCTGCGCATGCTCGAGTGGATTCCTTTCCACAAACATAACATATTTTTTTCTCTTTTGCTTAGTCATGATTCTGCTTTATTTCTTTTATTATTCGCAAAAAATTTATTCCCTGTTTCTAAATTTAGCTCACCCCTTCCAGGTTAACTTTCATTCACGAATTTTTCTACTTTCATATTCTTTTAACGTTTTCTCCCTGTTTGGCTTTCATTTCAAAAATAATATTTAAATTTTCTCCGCTTTCATTCTCTTTATCTGCTCACGTTCGCTCGCTTTTACTTTTGTTTCAGCAGTTAGTTAAAAATAATTTACAAACAGAATCTAAAATACTCAATATACATTATTGTTGTATACATTTTATTGTTAAGCGGAGGGCGCGCGATGAAAATCATGATTGAAAACTGGGCGGCGAATACTGAAAGGTTGAGAAAAGCTGCCTTATGTTATTCAATTTATGTCATTCATTGTGCAGTTTTAACTAATAGAGATTTTACGATTTTTAGAGTACCAAATAGATGTTGAAATAGGCTCAAATAATTATAAAACATTCAAGTTGAGCGCAAATGGTATTAAATTTGCTTTCATTATATTTATCAATCACCACTGATTTGCTTGCTGTACGGATTCTTCATAATTATTATTTCTTTTTAAAAACTTTTTTGCGTCTTGTTTGTACATTTTTTAAAAAAAATAATTAAACTTAAATAAAATGATTAAATTTATAAAATAATTTCAAATAATAAATTAACAAAATGAACAAATTTATAAAATATAGAACTGCTGATAATTAAATTGCTCTTTTCAGAAAAGCCAGTAGATGTCGCTTTCTTACCAGAAACTGGACTGACTGAAATGTAATTATCAGGATCCGAACCCGATATCTTCTCAAAATGATTGACGACAGCATTGTTGAGTGGATCTCTAGCAGACAACGTCAGCAATGTTGAACCAATCAATGTCTCTTCCGGAACTGTGATTTCGATTACAGGATGTGATAGTGTCCATGGCGGCGAAAAAACAGGATTCATCTCTCCATGAGCCCGGATGTAAATAGTTACTTCCACTGAAACATGAAAAAATGTATTAATAGATTTATTATTTTTTAACCTTATATATCATCAGTACTATTGTCTTTTAAAAATCCAAATCATATAATTTCAGTAAGAACGTAAATAATAAATAAATTCGCGAAACTCGATATTGTCTATTTCCATTCAGAAATCAGTTTCTGTTTCATTCTAGTAATATTATTTTTGTACCTGATTCTGGAACAATTTTTTTCTCAATTACGGAAATAAATGAGTAAACTCTACTTCCTCACGCACCTCATAGTTTGAGTATCGTTTAATATATAATATGCTATTGCTCGAATTAAGTAAGGTATGATAGTATGCGGCACTACAGCACAGTTTATATTTAAAATTTCTAAAGCCATTTTAAAAAGATCAACAAAAACAAAATAAAAATATTTAATTTATAACAAAGTTCTTATTGCTGTAAAAATGCGAAATGTCGTGTAATATATATATATATATATATATATATTACACGACATTTCGCATTTTTACAGCAATAAGAACTTTGTTATAAATTAAATATTTTTATTTTGTTTTTGTTGATCTTTTTAAAATGGCTTNCATGAAGAGATTACATCTTTTCATCTTTTTGTTTTCCGGCATAAAAATATATATATATATATATGCAGAGAGAGAGATTAGTTCATTACCATTAATGCCAATACCGCTTGTAATATTAGTTCGTAAAACAGCGTGAATTTTATAATACTTGGAGGGTATAGAAACGTACAAAAAGAATTTTGAAAACTACACAAATATTTCTTGATTTGAAATAAATTCAGGTTGTAACAAATTTATGATAAAACTAACAAATTTGCTTAGAAAAGGATAACGTGATCCCTATTTATTTTAATTCTGTTCTTTGCTGGGACAAATATATCAAAATATATAAAACTATTCAAAATATGCACGAGGGCCAGTCCGAATATCAATAAATAATGTCTCAACGTACTTGTGGAAAAAGATTAAAGTACGTTTTATCTTCAGTATCTCATTCTATTTCTTGTATTCCATACACATCAATATCCGTAGTCGTTTGTGGAAACTTATTTTTCGACACACCCTCGTAAATAAGCAGTTTACTTATTTATTCAATGCTGTATTTTTAAAATCTTTTACCTTTACAAATTAAATGAATGCTTTTTAGAGTCATGCTGATATTGATATATCAATTACCTGATGTTTTTTGCTGCTTTCCAAAAGTGATATCAACAGCATTGAGATCAACAGCTTCAACAGTTAAAATAACGACAGATGCTGAATTATATTCTAAAGGCTGATTGACAGTGATTTTTCCATTTGTTCCATCGATTCTAAACGCCGTCTGAAAATCAGAAAAGAGTTACGATAAATTTTTGTCTGAATGGTGACATTCAAGATAAATCAAGAAAACAGTAGTATTCACACTATTTTGCTTTAAATTATCAAAAAATGACTCGCCTACTAATTTATAATAATAGGTAAGTCATTAATGCTTTGACAGTTTTTTTAATCACAATCTAACACGAAATAAAAATTATACTAACATACTTAGAACTAAAATAAATAAATAAATATGAAAACGAAAATAATTCTGTTACATTAATCGTAGCCATAAGTAAGCCACATGCCCTAAACCTGGTTATTGCAGTTTTTACTTTAGGCACATCACTTACAGAATGCCGATAATTAGTGTTAAAAATAAAAAAAAGTCAAATTATTATCATCAATTAATTTTGTGGAAAGACAATAATCATTAAAAATTTTTCACCATTAATGATTTAAATTTAAAAATTATACAAGCGTAAACTAATCCCACATGTAAGTTTTTTACAGGCGCCCTCAAGCATAAACACAAATGAAAGAGTCAATTGTCCGTTTCACGGACAGGCATCTCTGTATGCTACACCAGTTCAACATGTAAGTTTAAACTGACGTGAAAGTAAAAACAAGTTTCCAATGTCGGCAGAGACAGTTAAAAAATATTTTCTACTGGTAACAAAATGAGGATCATTTTACAGGGTTAAATATTTAATTCTCTACCAATTTATTAAAACTTTTGCAAAAAGCGGAGCAGTTGGCATCTTTGTGTTAGTTACATCCAAAATTAATTATTTTCCTTTACATTTTTGACATATATTTTAGGACCACCCTGTATACATATATACCTTTTACACATGACATCCGTGAATGATTCAAAAGTTCACATAAAAACCAACTTTCTTCCAGTTCTCCCATTGTGAGGCTTTTAAAATATTGACAAACTTAACCAAAGTTCTGAGAGTTTAAGTTTTTGATTGTTTACCACAGTTTAAAATAATTTGCAAACAGCTTGACAAAACATTGATCCATAGCTGGGTGGGTATACAGTCCAGCACCGGGGATCGAACTCCAGTCTTTTACGATGACAGTCTAGTCTAGTATCTTAATCATGAAGCCATCAGGGCTCGCGATGTTTAAGTATAGAAATGAAAAAAAGAATTTTACGCTGTAACCTTACTTTGTAGTTATAGGAAGGTGATGTAACGACTGATCCTGTCTTGTCACGGGCAACGATTGGTTCTACAATAGAGTAACGGACCTTGGCATCTTTGTCGGGGTCCACTGCCAACACTGAAAGTACTTCATCGCCAACGTTGGTACCTGTTTAAAATAGAAGCACTTTTATTTATTTATTATCTTTTTTCCAAAAAACGTGTGATTTATTTCATATCTGAGTTGAGTTTATAACGACTGTTATGTTTCGTACATGAAAGATAAATTTCATTATGAACAAAAAAAAAATTTTTTTAAGGCGAAGCTGCTGAAAGTTTTTTAATATTTAAAAATGTGCTCTTGTAATATTGTATATTAATTAAAGCGTATAAAGATGAACAAAATCAATTTTTTTTAATAAAAGAAAATTGTTGAATGATTTTAAAGATTCACAATTCTTGTGCTACTTCTTAAAAAAAATTACCAAAAAAAAAGTGTTAAATCCAGTCATGGTAAGTGACGCCAGAGGGCGTATGTGCAAGGGGAAAAATTGTAGTTGTAGATTTAGTAGTTGTATGTAACTGCAGCGCGATGAACCTACCATCGCCATATCCCTTAATAAAATTGTTTGTTTTTAAATTAAGTCGCCTAGCATTACTTATAACCCTTATATACAGTCCAAAGCTATCGACGATTTTACAAAAAGTATAAATTTCGTTTTTCAAACATTTTCTTTTTATCATCATTTGTTCTTTTCATTATTTAATTCAATAATGATTGAAAATAGTGATAATGATTGAATTATAAGATATCAAAATATTTATTATTTCAATATAAAAATTATGATTTTTAAAAAGACAGATTAAAACTTCTGAACGGAATGGGACGAATAATTTCCAACAAGTAAATTCAAACAAAAATTCACATATTTAAAAATAGCACTTTTTGAGAACTATTCAACAACTTTGATTGATTTGTTTTATTTCATCATTTAAAATGAGTAACATAATAATTCGTCATTTAAAATGATGTTATGTTGCAATTTGAGTTACGATGAAATTTTAAAATTTTTCCATCGTTATTAAATTAAAAAATAATAAAATCGAAAAGAAATAAAAATGTAGTAAATATGATGTTGTATATGGAGTTATAAGTATTCAGAAAATCTCTTGGATTTACCTAAATAGCATTAAACATATTACGAAATACTTGAGAAGCAGAATCATCATTAATGGATTCATAATTTCTTCTGCTTGGGTTTTTTTAACCAGATTACGGCAAGGTTCCTGCCGCCAAAGAATATATTGATAGTCTTAATGTTAAATATTTCAGCGAAAGCTTTAGATGTACAGTGCGGAAAGGAAAGAAAACGGCCCAACCTGAATAACTTTTGATCTAATGATTGGTTCCTCACGCTCTAGGATTCAAACTTAACGGTTTGAGGAGATGACCTGAAATATGCAAATTAATAAGTGCAGACGATATTTAGGGTTACGAAATCATACACAAAAAAGAACTTTCTCGAATAAAACATACTTTTTTTTCTACAGATTCGGATTTCTGGCCCCCAGGATGTAGGGGGCAGCCGAACTAAAATTTTATATATACGACTTTTCTAATTGAAATTCGATTTCTCGGGAACTATTATTTACTCGGGAAAAGTTATTTACTTAACTATAATACACTCTGTTAAATAGTTCGGGATAATAATTTTTAATGTGAAATAAAGTACTACAAAAGCACATTTATTAAGGGACTAATTATTTCTTTCGACTAATTTTTCATTAGTTAGTAACAGTTATTTATGTTTTTTGCTAGTTATTAATTGTTTGCTTGTTTTCTATAGCTAGTTTTTTTGCTGATTATTAATTCGTGTCAACTAGTGTTTTTGCTGATTATTAATTGTTAGCTTATTTTTTGTTAGTTTTTTTTTATAACTTTTAATTGCATAGCTTACTTTAATGATTAGCTTTTATTTAAGTTTGAAAGTTAATATTTAGCTTTCTTTCCTTTGATAATTAATAATTTTAATGATCATTAAATTTCCTACTTATTTCAACATTTTTTAAAATTGTCAACGACAATTTAAACACTTCCTTCTTATTTTAAGATTGTCAGAGACAAGACAATCGCTGACAAAGATGTTCCCGCGGTTAAAGAGTGGAAAAATTATAATATACACTTTTCTTTAATTTAAACTTTACTCGTAATTAAAAAAGCATTATAATTTTTACTGTATCATTTCTAATATTTGGCGGCACATTTTAAGAATTTGGCGGCACAGAAAAGTGCCGCGGCACAGTGGTTGAGAATCACTGATGTAGGGGGTAGCCGAACTAAAATTTTATATATACGACTTTTCTAATTGAAATTCGATGTCTCGGGAACTATTCGACCGATATCGCTCAAATTTTGTAATTCTCCAGGTAAAATTACATTCTTTAAAATGATCTAAAAACTGTATACGTAACAATACAAAATTTTTTAGACTATTTATAAAAAAAATATTAAAAAATTATAAATATTTACTAAGATTTATTTTTAGCACGGAATTGTCTTTGGAGAAACGAATTTCCTAGTTTCATCTTTCGCTTCCAATTTCTCGAGATCTAAGCAAAAAGTAGAATTAACATGATGGGGTCCAAACTTTCGACAACTCTCCTGACAAAACTATGAGGACTATATTTCCTACTTTGCGGCTACTCCCTTATATTTTGGAAATTCATCAATAACCGTAAATTTTATTACTTTGTTTTATCATTTTTTTTGTTTTATCAAATTTTATGACTTTTTACTTAGTTTGGATTCTTTTTATTGCGTATTTTTACACTTACATTGCGTTGTTGTTATCATATTATTATTATTTGATAAATTTAATGTGTTTAGAATGTTTATTTTAGAAATTAATATTCATTATGATGGTGCTATAGGATTTTCCCGAGCGTCGACGGGATAATCCATAAAATTAGCTGATTTTTGGGTAAATTTTGTCAACTTTTTAAAAAGGCTCAACAAGGATGATTTGTAATCACATAAGCCTTAGAATTACTTAGAAGTATAAATTGAATTTACTAAACCAAGAATCGTGCATTAAAAATCTACCACTCGAAAATAGTTATCCACTGTCCGGAGTAAGTTGGCATCTTACAAATTTTCAAAGTGGTAGCAAAAGGTGAAATATATCTAGATGCTTTAAGCTATCAATAAATATTTCATTTTAAAGGAAATATATAAATCAGAAATACACTGAAAAGCCAAATGCGGGTTAGTTCCATCCAAAAGTCCTCCACGTAGGCACATTTTTATTAACACTTGATACAGGAGTTCCTTTGTCTTCGGGATAGAGTTCAAAATTACAAGGCTAAGGAGTTGAACCTTGGTATTCGTAAACCCAAAATTGGGTTGACTGTTCAACGACGGTTATAAGATAAAAATGTCATCCCCGACTAAAATTTTTGAACGAAATTTGCTATTGTAGAAAAGATTCTCTTAGGAAATGAAAAATACAGTCCGGCAGTCTTTCTCACTGATGTTCGATGAAATTAAAAGCTGTACATAGTAGCATATAATTATCATTATTCTTTTATCGCTTGTTTTTGTTCCCAAATTAGATAAGTTATGAAGGGAAATTTTTAACAATTCCTCCTTTTTTCTGGCCTTTTTATGTCGTACAACGCAGATGAATGAGTAAAGTTCTCATGTGGGCATAAAACTAAGATAAATAAAATATATAGGTTCAAATTTCCATCCATATTGGAGAATCTAAATCCCGTGAACGTTGAAAAAATGTATGTACATTCAGAGAAGCTAAGTTTTTTTTTTGTTTGATATTGCAATTTAAAATATTTCGCGCAATTTTATTGACATTTTTTAGTTAACCCTTTGAATAATTAAGTTATTCAGAGAAAGTACGTTTTTGCACTTGATATCAAAACTTAAAACAGTGTTTGCACTAATTACTTTGCAATTTCAAGTCAACTCTTTGAACTTTTGAAATTGCTCAGTAATACGTGTTAATCATTAGATCAAATCATTAGTGTTTATTATTATATTAAATGCATTTTTATTCAAATATTTTGTGCGCTGAACTTACTTTCAGGAACGTATTCCACGTATGATTCCTGTGTAAATACTGGTGGTTTATTGTTCACATCTTCCACTGTAATCAATACTGTTGCCGTTGCTGTTTGATGCACTGGACTTCCTGAATCCACAGCCTGAACCTAATACAGGAACGAAAAAAAATATTAATTTTATTTTCTTCTTCGCAGTCTCACAGTACGTAAGGTGACTACTTGCGTTGCATAGTTTTCATGCTCAACTTATCGAGTAGCTGAGTTATCATTATTATTTTTTAATTTCTTACATCCTAATATATACTATATATATACTTGCTAGTGAAAATGCAAAAGTTGCATCGACTAAAAAGATCGTAGAAAGTGCAGCTTTATACCATTTTCAATACCATTACATACCTGCCAACTTTCACGCATTTGGCGTAAAATTTTATTTCTATATTTAAAGTGGTAGTAAAATGTAATACTGTTGTGGTAATCCGCATAAGCTCACTCAAAATATAGAGTATGTTTCTGTCTAAAATTGTAATTTAAATTCCATTTTAGTACAACTGGGGAAAATCATCCTCGAAAGGATTAAGAGTTGGCAGGTATGCCATTATATTTAAAAAAGCATTCTAATATAACTATCTTAATCTTCAAAATGGATGGTATTAAAACTTAAATCAATTAACTTCCTCAATATTTTGGTTGATCTAAAGTTTAGGAGAAATAAAGAAACTTTACTTAACCTTATATATCGACTTAAAAAACCTTAAGAAACCCGACTAAAGGAACCTTATATATCGACTTATTAAATGTAGTAACTTTTATACTAAACTATTTCCTATGAGGTAAAATAGCTGTAGTATGTATTAGCAATCAAATCACAGGGGTGCCACAGGCAACTAAAATTGTAAGACGTAGTAAAAACTCAATACATTCTTCATTTATATAATTTATATAATTATACAGTCGTAATTACCACTATGACATACATTCTAAACTACTCATATTTAAATCTAAAAAAAAAAATAATAATAAACTTCAGGAATGTTGTCTGACCAATAGCTATACCTTTTCTTTTTTTGTTGCTTTTGACTATGGGGATTTCCCCTAAATTCTAACCAAGTTTATGACTTAACTATGACCTATATTTATATGTCTACCCAGTAAAGATGAATCGGTCAGTGGTGCTTCGCGGCAAACACCGAGATTGTACATATATCCGGCATCCAAACTCTAGGAATTTCTGCAATAATTAACTGAAAACAATATGCTAGAAAAAGTTATTAATTTTAATCTCTTCCATTAGATTTTTGATTTCTATCAATCTTTATATATTTTTAATCGCTTGAGGCATCCCTGTAATTACGAGCATTTATTCCATGCGAAAACAAGCTAGAAATAGAATTTTTTTTTATTATCAGTTATTCCTGTTTTTTGGGGTACAAAATGCCCTGCTACTACAGGATAAATTTGCTGGTATAAAGTGGTCTGCTAGACATACCCTTTAAATATCTGTCATAAAATCGTATTTAGATGGAAACTAACCTAATTTATCACGAAATATTTTTCGAAAGTTGTGGTTTAATTGTTTATCAAAAACTATTATTTAAAAACAAATTACTGAAAAAGCTGATATTATTGGAAATGAAAGTCAAGGGTTAAAACGCTCGCTTCTATGAATCGATTCTGCTTCGAATCTTTGCAATGTAGGCCGAGCCGACTCGCAGCAACTTGGGAGAATTGTAAATTATGACAGTGTTAACGTAAATTATGCCCATTGGTAGACATCTCCACACTCTACACTTGTTAAGTTTTAGGGGATTACCGCTCTATGTGACAAAAATGTGGGTTAGTTTCTGCTAGCACTCTAAAAAACGAGCTCAGGCAGATGAATCAGTTATGTGCTATAAAATAAATTTGTGTTCAACTCTTACAGTAATGTTATAATCTAATCCATAGACGTCTCTGTCCAAGTCTGCTCCTGGGGCAACCGTGATGAGACCGGACTTCTGGTCTAGAACAAAATTGTCTTTAGCCCCACTACGGATGAAATAACTGAGACCAGAGTCTGGACCATCTGGATCAGAAGCTTTGATTTTGATGACACTGGTGCCTAAAATGAAATGAAAAAGTAAATACAGTGGTGGAACGACTGATTTTAAAATTAAAAATCCCCCGAAAAACAGAGGAATGAAACAAATCGTGTGTTTTTGGTGGAAACTGCAAAAATTTAATACAGAGATTTTAGAATTTTGTTACAAAAGTTGCTAACAAATGCTGTGCGCTGTACTGAGATTTTGAAAAGAATGCAAACCCCGTAGGAATGTGATCTAATCAATAACGAAAACACACGTTTTTAACCTTTTCGGCACGTCATAAATGTATTCGAACGGAATCAGGATGGTAAAAAGCTGTAACTTAAGATTGGCTAATTTGACAGACTTATTTTTTGCTTTCATTTTAACTCTTCCAATCCTTGCGTGTTAAAAGTGTAACTATACAATTTTTAATTCGAACAAATGGGTGGTGAATTAAATAAAGCAAACTATTATTACCCCGCCCACAAATAAACTGCTATAAAATAGTTTGACTACCACTTTTATCTTTTTTGCCCTGATTTTTGACACCCTGAGAATGCATACAAGACTCGCCCGCCTCGAAGAGGTTAAATAGAGCACATGGTACTTAATCATAACCTCCTTTCACGTTCCAACGCTTAAACTGATCTTTCGGTTCATTGATGGATTGCGGCGCCATCTGTTGGACACTGCTGTAATGTTCTGAATTCTAATGCTGTTCTGAAATGACTGTCTAAAATTTTTAGTTTCTGCAATTAAATAATATCTTTTGTTTCCTTCCTCTCTTTATCAGTATTTATTTCTGAGATTTCTTATTTTTGAGACCACACCCTGTCGATTTGAAAGATCACACTTGAAGCTTTATAAAATGTCTTTTTTTTTTAAAAGTTTAATTACAATCAATTTTAAAATCAATCTACCTATACCTTACACAATCTAAATCTGTGAACCGGCCCTATAAAGAGCTTTTGCACATTCATCTGTCGGATCATCCTCCGGGATGTTTCCCAGACCGTCGCCAATAGCCCATTGCGCAGCTCTAGTGCGACGTAAATTAACAACAACAACAACATTCATCTGTTTGGACAGTTGTAATCAATCGATAGCAGGGCTGTCAACTTTCTACGCTTTTTGTAAAAATTGATTTGTTAACATTTACTGATAAAAGGACGATTGTTAACACAGAGTTACTATAACAATTGAAAAAATAACGTGATTCACGATTGATTCCGAGAAAAGTGGCTTGACAGCTTTTCTCCTTCTATTGATAATGTTATGAACACTAAAATAAAATTTCTAAAAACTTATAAAACAAAATTTATTTTTGAAAAAAAAATTTCTTGCAATATGTAGCTTGCCATATAAAGATGCCAACTTTATATTTATCTCAATTTTGAATTTTTCGTCGCTTACGTTGATTTTTCGATTGCAGTGCAGTATTATTGTGCTCGTATTGTTTTGGCTACCCATCTGTATAAGCTGCATTCAGCAAAGGAATAAAAGAATTAAATTAATTTCATTGTTAAATTTATTTTATTGAGTAATCAGCACAAATTATCCATTTCATTCAATCCAAAACTTTTTTAACGCTTCTTTATTTTCCAATTTTTATTTCGGAGTTTATTATTGTTCCGCAATGAAATCTATAATTATGTTTTCTTTTTTTTTATAAAATAAATAATTAAATATACCTCCAACGGAATTTTCTTTCACGCTTGCACTGTAAGGAAGATGAATAAACTCTGGGGCCCCATCGTTCTCTTTCTAGAAAAAAAAATATATATTTGATGCATTACAATATGTACAGTCAATATAGATCATTGATATAAACTATACTTAAATATATATAAATACTTAAATTTTATCATTAAAATAAATATAATTTATAATTTTGAAACAGCGAAAATATATCTAATTTCAGATGGAACTAGTGCGATTAGACAACTATAATGCTAAACAAAAACCAATAATGACGTCCAAAATCAATGTTTATAAAATATTTATCACCCACTTTAAACATTAAAGAAAAATCTCTTGTTAAAAAAAAATGGCACGAATGTTCCATATTATAAATTAGCTTATTAAATCAAATAATAAAGCATAAATTTTGTTGGCGTTGATATCACATTCAAAATAAAAAATCGCGATTGGCAACATTGCTTCTTTTATTATGATTAGGTCAATATTTCTTTTGAAAGAAAAAAGGCGGTTATGGTACTGAATCCAAGAAATATTACCTTGACTTTCAGAATCAGCTTGGTGGTAGAGGAGAGGGGTGGGTTGCCGTGGTCAGTTGCCTTGATGGTGATGGTGACCAATCCATTGCCAGATGGTGTTTCAGAATGCTTCAGAGGTCGTTGAAGAATAACCTCTCCTGATTCAGGATCAATAGATATGGCAAACACGTCTTCCAGTTCACTGGATTCTATGCTGTACGTGATTTTTCCATTCCCCTGCGTTGGACCGTCAGAATCAGTTGCCTAGAAACAATGAAAAAAATAAGATTGTTCGTTATTAGGCATCAATTAAACGTAATATGAGTCAAGCCTACGGAATGTTACTTATTTGGGTTTATTTTTTTATAATTAGAGTTAACATCATGGTTATACCTAGGTTAAAAACTGAAACCAGGGTTCTCATCACCTGGGAAAAAAATGAATTGTTTCTCAAAACTACTGAACATTTAGCTTTTAAGAAGAACAAATAATCCACCGAGATACCTCCCCCCCCCCTATATCTTCCAGGGCTGTTTGTACCTCGAAAAAGAGGAAAAATTGGTATCATTTGCTTAACCCTTTCGCTTCCACCGGGACATATATGTCCCGCAGGCAGTTTCAAATAACCCTATGGGCAAAATATGCTTTGTATTATTATGAATGCATGTCCCACTGGTATTCCTTGATATCACTGACAATTCAGTAATTTTTTCCCTTTTTCAGAATTTTATCGGTATTTGCATTGTAACTGATATATTTAAGTACTTATTTCATTTTTTTCTCAGAAGAAAAAATTGGTAGTGAAAGGGTTAATTTTGGAAGGAGAAAACTTTCCTGGCTCCCAAAACTTTTTAACAGCTAGTTTTCAGTGAGGGAAACTGCCTGGTATGTATGTTACTGTGAATGACAGAAATCGGTGGTTGTTTACTTCCACCGGTGAATGTGTACAATCACATAGTCACTTTGGTAAATGTCCGAAATATATACTAGGTCTAGTAAAGTGCCACTACCCGGTATACTCTACACTGATTTTTTTTTTAAAGGTTCAGTGGCCCGGTATGCATTTAACCGGTACCTCCGAACACTGATGTTTCTCCGAATCTCTCCTCAGCAGATATTAAAAGATCGAATAAATAAAATAATAATATATCCAAATCGGATATAACAAATATTTTGGACATCCACTAAAGCGACATGATTGACATTGAACGGTGAAAGTGGACATTCTCTTGATTTCGGTCATTCACGGTTACGAATACATTTTAACTCTGAATAAGTTTCGATAACCAGGGTTCTTTATTTTTCCCGAAAATCAGTTAGATTTGAAATGGTTTTGCAAACAGGTTTTTTTTTGCATTTCCTTTGAATAGAAAATTTAATTGGCAGCTTAAAACATTAAAACATATGTCAGTATTGCTACCACATTAAATTTTTTTTTCCTGCCAACCACGAAAATCCGGCAAAATTTGCCATTTTGAATTTATGAAACCTGAAATAATTAAAGTATATACCTTTTGATTGATATATGGTATCATCAAATGTTTATTAACAGAGGGAAAAAAATCGATAGAAGAGAAATATAATCTAAAATCCCAGATGATGAGAGGAGTTAAAACCATAAAACCAAGCCAAATAATGCTCTAGATTACCTTAATGAATAGCGGTGGTAAGAGCTTCGCAGTGTTCTCTAAAACTTCATGAGTGTAGACTTCTTTGGTGAATTGTGGAGTGTTATCGTTGGTGTCTGTGATCTCGACGAACAAATTCACGGACGTCACCCTGTCGCCGCCATCTTTGGCCTCGTAAGTAAGGGAGTAGCTTTTCTGAGATTCGTAATCCAGGCATGTGGATTGTCCACATTCGGACACTTCCATTTCTCCCGTTTCTGAATTCACATCAAACCTAGAAAGCAAACAACACATTTATAGATTACAAAAACGTTACAAAAAAAACATTTAAATCAGAGTACCTAACCAAAAGTAGCTAACCCAGAGGTTTATTTTCACCTTCATCTAAATTGAAAAGAATTAAGGGTCGGAAGGGGGGAGGAATTATAGCTTAAAGCTAAGTCTGAAGGGGTTCAAAAAATTATGTCGTTTAAGGACGAAGTATGGAATATACGTAAATAACAAAGGAAAACAAGTATTAATCGAAAAATACAAGTACAAGGGAAAGGAAAAGTAAAAAATAATTTATAATATTTACAAATATATACAAACAAGGGGTGACTCCCCTGCCTCCCCCGGTAGCCGGGCTTTGCAGCTGCAGAGTACACAGTGTGTTTAAATTTGAAAAATTAGTCTAAATTGGAGTTAAAATGTTAACAGAGTCCTTAATAAAGTAAGCGGGGGCAGGACTAAACTTAGCATTATATATATATATATATATATATATACAATNATATATATATATGGATCAGAAATTATGGGACGGTAATATTTCAAGACTAAAAGTGGTAGTAGCCGAAGCCAACAATAGAAAATCGTATCAGGAACTATTTTTTTAAAAAAAAAGCAGAGATGCTATAGATGACTAAAAATGCGAAAAATGGTATAAACTCAATTTTTTATTTTATTTATTATCTCTTTAATTATTCATCAGAAACTACTACTATGACTTACATTTCAAATTATCTATATTTGATGCAAAAACACACTTAGCAGTCACTTTCAAAGGTAAACTGGAAAAAAATATGCTATAAAATATTTCTAATTTTAATTTCGTTATGAAAAATTTTGAATTTTATGTTTCACCACTTTTTCCAATTTTAGTCGTCCGTGGGCAACCCTGAGAAAGGTATTCATTTTGATACACAAAAGTTGAAAATGTCTTCTTACTGTAAGTACATCTTCAGATCTAGACACGCTTATTTGAAGTTATTGAAATATTCTGGTAGGAACGAAAGAACTGAGATACAATATTTTATTTTAACACATTGCAGACGGGTCACATAAAAATACGTTTTTGAAAGATTGCCACAAACGATTCAGTATATTTGAAATCAGTAGTACAATTGTTCGTAGTAATTTATTTTAAACTGCAGCTATAATAACAAGTTTGTTCCAACCATTATGAAATCTTACCTACCACATTTTTTATACAATAACATTTTAAACTGTAACATTAAACTATAATATTTTTTTTATTTATAACAGCTGTAATACAACAACATCTATAACAGCTGTTTTTGGAAAAGTTCTCGACGCACCTCAATCTGGGAATTCCCACTTTTCTCTCACCGTCTACTCAGCTATGACCAACGCGAAATTTTTTTTTACAAGAATTTTGTGTCCTTTTTGGATGTAACTATTATTACCGTCATTGAACAACCGACCCAATTTAAGGTTTACGTCTAGCAATGTTTCGTAGCCTCGTAAATTTGAACCTAATCCGGAAATGAGAACTTCTAGATCAAGTATAGGGAGAAATTTGCCATTGCAGAGAACTTTTTGATGGAAATAACTCGCATTTGCGTTACATGGAGAGGAAAACCACGAAACCCTTCCATGATTAGCATGACGGCAGAGGGACTCTAACCCATGACCCGTCTACCTCTGAGGATATCTTTATATCAGCACTGTGGTCGGTGCTAGTTTTGCGGAATTTGTTTCGGCCAGTCATTGCTAAGATTCGATTTGGAATTTTTGATGGAACTCATTTTCGTTACATCCTGATTGTAACCTCCCACTGTTAGCCTGACGGCAAGGTGACCCTATGCATGATCCATCTACCACTGAGAATATCTTTACGTTAGCACTGTGGTCAGTGGACCTAGGTGCGGAATTCGTTTTGGCCTGCCATAGCTGGGATTCGAACCCAGTTTACCTCATTGGGAGGAGAATGCTTTAACTCCTGAGCCACTACGGATCTTTTTGTGTAACTAGACGATTCTAGTCCCTAACCTACTAATCTCACATGCTCTTAAATACAAAAAAATTTTAATTTCTCTTAATTTTTAATTGTTAGCCGCCCTAATCGCCTGAGAAAAAGAATGTTTCCGTTAAGAGTTTCCTCTGACGGATGTGTCTCTCCAGAGAGTGTTGGAATTACCAAATTTTGATTTTGAATTCTCAGAAAACTGCAAACATTGCATTGAATTCGTTTAAACCCCTTCATGATCATCAACTCAACCTCTCCAAAAGTGTATTGGACCTGCAGAATTTTATGTTTTGACATCTGCAAACTGCATCGAATTGGTTTAGGTTTCTCACCATGATCATCTTGTACCTTTACTTCTCCGTCATCATTAACTCAACTCATCACCCTCAGTCGAACTCTCTCTTACAGCACAGAGGATAAAAGTGAAGAGCTAATATCCTCTACTTCATCCAACTCAACTGGGAAAGTTTCCGGATGCAATGTGTTAACAATTCTACGAATTTTTAAAAAAAATTTCCGGTAAGTCGTGCGCATTGTGTATTAACCTTAGTAACAGAAAATGGCTCTAAGTATTACTGAACTGCCATTTTTTTTGTAAAGGTACGTTGCTTAAGAAGTGCTGTGTTTTCCTACTTCCACCAATTTGTGGTGGAAAAAATTTAATTCGCAGCAAAATTTGTATTTTCAAGTATGATTCTTGGAAACTGTATAGACTTTAATTAAAGGAAAATGTAGTAATACCTACTTGTTAGATCCAAATCCTTTCAGAGCGTAGGTGATTTTTCCAAAACGGCCACTATCAACATCATTAGCCTGGGAAAAAAAAGCGTTTCAAAAACATAAAGAGGAAAAATATAAAAAATTGCAGAAAATCTTTGTTTACATTTAATAATGAATTATCTAACACGAATAAAAACTTAGTCGAAAATTAGAAATAAAAAACCTCAAAATTATAGAATTTTATTTAGTTTATTTTTGGGAGACTCCCTATCTTAGACAGGAGTATAGACTTTAATTATAAGCTATTTTAATCTTGTAATAGATGGATTTTTTTAAGCCTTTATCCATGATTTAATATGACACCTAGAGGACTAAGTTCACGAAGATATCAAACCACAATGGGATGCCTGCAAGTGACGTTGTGTGGGTATCTCGATCTTGATTGGTTGTTGAAAAGTGGCATACATTAAAAGTGCAACTGTTCTTTCCGTTCCATTTCGAGTAAGCGAAGCCATTCAATCATCAGTTCTCTTAAATGATACATTCTATATTCATACACTAAGATTATTTGGCAAATATTTCCTTCTTACTTAATGCAAAGACAGACATGGTGGAACATAAATAAACTAACGAAGTTGACAGGTACAGAAAAAAAATATATCATGGTTGTAATAAAATTCGTAAACATATAATAAAGTAAAAGATGCAGAAGAGAAAGAGCTACGTATCAATAAATTCGATGAATGAAACGGCACTGAGTTTAATTAACTTCACGTTAATTAAATACAGTACCGTATTTAATTAACGTGAACTTAATAATTCTTCTTATATGCCGTATTAATGACGCTTATGCCGTATTTAATAACTCTTCTTCTTGAAGTGCAAGTACCCAATTTGCGCAGGGAAAAAAATGGCAAATATTTATTAAGATGACTTAGTTTTAAATCAAAAAGTGTATTATTTTAATTAGTTTTTACATCTTTCATTCTAAAAAAGTCAAACCTAATTTTGTAAATAAAAAAATAGCATTGGGAAAATTTTTTCTTTATGTTGCCTCATACTTTTGAACGGATCTGATATTTCTTGCGTCACTGGTTTCAAATCTGCACTCGGTTTCTCTCTTTTAGATAGAGGAGTTCTTATGCAATTTAATGTCCTATTCCTAAACAGAATTTCTAAAATTTTACTGGAGTGAATACGTTCCAGCTTCTTTTTGCTGCGTAGGGAGTGAAAGGAAGAAGGTATTAATTCATTTCAGTTTATGATGCACTACGTTAAAGTTATGATTTTTTTTTTGTCATAAGTGTTAAGCTCAAAGGAGCAGACAACTGAATATGTATGTAGATAAACCTACACGTTCTTAATAAATTTGTACATTCAGATAAAAGATAAACTAAATTAGTATTTGTATCAATACAACAAAAAATTTGTTCCCCAGTGTAGTTGAAAACTTTATCTCTGACCGATTTTTCAGCTGACGATCCCAATCCTATCGATCTGAATGACCTCTTTCAGCTAATGAGCCCGAATGCATACGATCTCGAAATCTTCTTTCAGCTGAGCAGCCCGTCTCATCTCCAATTCGCGCGCAATCCTGGTTAAAATTTGTTATGAAGTTATGGGTGTTAAAGAAAAGTTTAAAGGAATTAACACGTTAAAATTTGTTGAAACATGAAGAGCACATATTGATGCTCATCTCCATTGGCCTATGATGGGCTTACATTGGCTCGACGGCCTGTAACCTGTGATGGGCCTATATAGTTTATTACAGTAAGGCTTATTTATTGAGAAACGTTTGTATAATTTTACGCTCGTAACTAAAAGAGTGAACTGAATCTAAATAATGCAACCATTACTTTCGGGACTAGGTGATCACATTTCACTTAAAAACATAAAAATGCGAACCCTCAGTTCGAGTTCTGTATTCGCCTGCACTACTATATTCACCATGATTGGTGACCCGGATGCAATGAACTCTCTGAAAAAAGGCCTAACCTCACACTTACTGCATCATAGCTCAGTTCACACGCGTTTGACTTACAAGATAACAAACATTACCCTTACAAAATAATAAGGTGTTTTTGAGGTTGACAGATGTTAAAATATACACCTGAGATAGAAAACGAGGTTATGTTTTGCACCAAAAAAAACCTCATTAATAAACCCAATTTCAACCTCATTTACACCTCACAAAATCAATCTCATATATTACTCAGAAATAATTTTAGTTTAGATCGAGCGAAATCATTCACACCTCAAATATGCGTATTTGCTTGAAGTGTAGAAAAATTAATCCGTGCACCTCAAAAACAACCTCCCTAAGCCGGTTGCTCTAAAATAGATTTCCATCAACCTCAAAACAGCCTCAAGTGTGATTAAACCAACTTCATACACTTTGATTATACACCTTGGGAGGTTGATCTTTTAAGGTTGCTTTTGAAATCAACTTCGAATAAACCTGAAACCAATCTTGACACCTCCAAACAACCTCATATAAACCTCAAAAATACCTTAATTTTTTTGTAAGGTTAATTTTTTTTGTTTTTTTGTATCTCTTACACTAGATGTCACAACTAGATTAACTAGATAAACGCCATATAACGCGGTTCAAGATTTTGACAATCATATCTATTATGAGTCAGTTCTGTTTAAATCACTTGACCATCTCAAAAAGCAGCCCTCGTCTTTTATAGCTGCATGGTGTCTTTTACTGAAAAATATGAGGGAACTACCCTCGTTTCAAATGCTCTCAATCCAGCGCTAATTGGTGACCGCTGCTATAAATTAGTTCATTTGAAACTGACGTAACTATACAATGTTCGTTAATAGAGCCGTGGTGGATCAGGGAATAGAGCGTTCGCCTTCCAATGAGGTAAACCGGGTTCGAATCCCGGCGTTGGCTAGACAATACGAATTCCGAACCCGGCTCCCACCGATCACAGTGCTGACGTAAAATATCCTCAGCGGTAGACGGATTATGGGTTAGAGTCCCCTTGCAGACAGGCTAACTGGGAGAGTTTTTCGTGTTTTTGCTCTGCATGTAACGTAAACGCATGTTGGTTCCATCAAAAAAAGTCCTTCACTAAGGCTAATTACTCCCAATACCGGATTCAGGAGTTACGTTTTCTGGGTTGGGTCTAAAATTACAAGGTTACGAAGTTGAACATTAATAGTCGTAAACCCAAAATCAGGTCGGCTGTTTTAACGACGGTTATAAAATATACTGCCGTGCAATTGCAAAAACATCGGAATTTCTTTGCGATAGATTTCAAGAAAAGTGGCAACAACTATTTTTTTTTCACTTTGCTATGCTATTAATAATACAGTAAAATTTTAAAAAAAATTTGATTTTTTCTTTCTTTTGCAATACGTAGTTTATCATACAAATATGTCAAATATATTAAAATCTCAATCAGGAATTTATTGTCACAGGCTCTATAAATAATTAAGTGAGCGAAACATAGATAAACTTTTTAATTCAAAATTATAAAATAAAAAGGTACTTACTGTTAAAGTAAATATGCTTCGCCCCGGCTCAACATTTTCTGGTACTTGCAACAGGTACTGATCATTTTGGAAAACTGGAGCATTATCATTAGCGTCTGTTAAAGTCACAGTTACGGTGGCAGAATCACTTTCAAATCCTTCTTGCAAAGTTTTGATCTTAAAATATTGTAAGAAATCAATTCATTGTTTGTTTTTTATAGAAAACTGTGCTGTATATTTAAAACAAAAATCTATCTTACAACTTTTGATTAAAAAAAAGAACAAGGAAGCTAATGATTGCTCTTTTAATGCATCAATTTAAAAGCAAAATCTTAAATTTTTTACTCCTTCCACGGAAAATAAATAATTCAAACATATAATATTATGTAAATTAGACATTATATTTTAAAGTGTTTTGGGGAAATAGGAAATTCTTAATTTTTGAAAATTCTTAATTCATTCAAGCCCGATTTAATCAAATACCAAATTAAAAGCAGGCAACCAAATACAAAACTGCTTGTGACCTCTTGAATTATGATTTATTATAATATTTCTTTACTGGATTATTTATCAAATCTGACTAGAGAACTATACAAAGTACACTGTCATTTGTATGATGAATTAGTTATCAATGAATCATCTTTTTCTGGAACCAAACTGACAGCAAAATATTCTTACCACCACCTTTTGTTCATTCGTAGCAAATGCATGACGCGTCGTCAAAACTACACAAATGGGTATATTTTTATTCTACAACTTCATAAAAACTTTTCGAACGACTGTTCTCTTTCTACTGTGAATGACAGAAATGGGTGGTTGTTGACTTCCACCAGTGAATGTCACATAGTCGCCTTGGTAAATGACAGGTCCAGTTAAGTGTCCTTGCCCGGTATGCCCTACATCAACTTTTTTTAAGATCCCGGTATGCATTTGCATGGTACTCCGAACACTGATATTTCTTCTAATCTATCCTCAGCAGTTATTGAAATATCGAATAAATATAATAATTTCAGCGAATTAATTGATATCAAATTGGATATAACAAATATTTAGGACATTCACCAAAGCGACTATGTGATTGTTGACATTCACCGGTGGAAGTCAACATTCTCTTAACTTCGGTTATTTACAGTAACAACAACACAAGATTGTAAAAAAAGGGTTACTTTATTTGCATTTAATAATTTTTGGTTTTGAGAGGAAAGAATAATTTATTATTCAAATAAAAATGTATGTAAGTTTAATCACGAAGTTTCTTAGGAAAAAATAAAAAAGAGAGAAACTTTAAAGATCCGGTTTTGTGTCCAACTTTCCCCTACTTATTTTGTATTTAAGGAGTGCACGATACTTAAAGTACACTTGGCGGCTTTAGGAGCATTAGATTTTGTCGTTTTTATCAAATTCAGTTACTCTTTTGATCTTTGATACAAAACATACATTCTTTCGTCGATCTTTCACGGTTTAATACACCCCAATCAAAATGTGCTTTTTCCATAAAGCTAATAGTAACATATTTTACCTTAAAAATAAAGATTCTTTTATTTATATTTTCATAATCCAAATCTTGTGCATTCTGTATTCTTATGATAACGGGTGTTCTTCCAATTGCAACAGTCGGAAAGACGGCAAACATACCTTCTGAGTTCATCACATCTTCTAAGACAAGACTGAATTTTGCATTATCTCCCTGTAAACGAAAAACAATAATGACCAACCTGGAAATAATAACAATTTAGATAAACATAATTTCTTTAGTTTTGTCAACACTCGAGTCCTATATATTAGTTTAAATGGTTAGATATAATGTTTGTCAAAATCAATATAAATCAAATTTTAAAAAAAAAATTCTTCCGTTTAAATATGAGATTTGGCATAAATATCGAAGAGGCCATCTTGCTTCGTTTTGTGAGAAAAAATTTTCTAGAACTAATAAAATTTTTGTTTTCACGTATTTTTCTTGATTTAATGGATTACACTTAAAGGATATTTTTCGTAGCACTACAAATAAATATTTTATTAGTTTTTATAAGACCCCATTTGGGTTCATATACCTCCCTGCGAAATTTATAAAATATTGCCAAATTTAGCAAAAATTCGACACATTTTATGTCTAATTCCCTACCGATTTAAGAAATCTTTTGACAAACGAGAAACAGTTGACATATCTGGGATAAATGCTGGACTGATAGAAAGTTTATTAATCCATTATTGAACAGCAGGGTCCCATCTTTCTGAAGAAGAAAAAAGCGTTTCTTTAGGGGAAAAATCCACTCTGAATTCAATTTTTTTTAAATCGATTTTTCTTACAAAATTTTCCTCAATCGATTTTTTTCTTGATACGAGAGAGGACTTTTTAAGGAACATTTCTTATAATAAATATACGAAAAAACTGGAAAAAAATTAATAACGGAGGTGTAATTTTAAAAATTATTGAAAAATTGCAAATAAGGCAAAACTGAGGGTCCCGAAATCGGAGCGAGTCTGAAGATATGTTAGAAATCATTATTGACTTCATAGACATCGACACTGGCAAATTTTACTATATTCAACTACGTTAATTATTAGATTAACTAATGATATATTAAGTTAGAAAGCAATTATCCTAACCAATGATGAATAAAATTATTTGAAAAATGGACTGGGCTTAGTAGGTAAAAAGATAAAAAATTATCAATTAGTGGGAGCAATGATATTTAAAGATATTGACCCCAACCTATGGGGAAGTAGAAGAAGATAAAGCTAGGTTGTGTTTGGTTAAACAAACATTTAAAAAAAATGATGCAATGTTAATAAAGATGCTTATAATGATAATAAAACATTAGTCTGCAATTTTGCATTGATAATACATTTAGTTTGCCCAGGGAATGGTAAGAATGAAAAATATTATTTAAGAATTAGTTTAATTAATTTAATTAAGGTGATCGCTATGTTAAAGCTTATGCGGAGTCAAACATTAAATTAAAACGACAATAAATAAAAATATTAACATTGAGAAGTTAATTAAGGCGGTCAAAGTCAACGCTTGCAAAATGGCGAACTTTAACATAGCGAAAACCTATTCCGAGATCATGTCATTGTTTAGAAAGATACCTATAAAAATTTTATACGAAACCGCCGAAATTTAATAACATTATAAATTTAGTGAAGAATATCATGGCTCATTGCAAAGAAATGTTAAAAATTAAAAATAAGTTAGAAAAAGTACATTTAGAAGAAGCCAAAGTTATCGATAAAATGCGCTTGCATTAAATGGCGTTAGAAAAATGGCGGTCTGGTACTCTAAGCCTAAGTCAATGGAACATCGGATTTTAAACGTTCATTAATGGAAAATAAACCTCTCCAGAGGCTGAAAAAGACTCACCAAAGATGCCTTTTGGAATTACATGTTAGTTTTCATAAACTTTAAAGAGGAAATATCAGTATTTTATGGTTTTTAAGAATTTATTCAGGAGCTACTGTAGAGAAGTTGTCACTGAAGGGGGAGTCCCCATTCTTGGTCAATACTTGAAAATTATATTTTGTGGCCGGTATAGCCTGGTTGGTATGACGTTGGGCCCATACATAGAGGTGGTGGGATCAATCCCCGCCGGCCGAAAATTCCCCGTGTAGCAAATGGTGACTGGTGCATGTTAAATCTATCGGGTCACAAAGTCATCCATTTTCCCATAACAAATTATACCTCTTGGCATATACTGAATTGTAGATTGATCGCTCTCTGGTTCAGGTCAGAATTACGATCCGTGGATGAATGAATGTATGAATGGGTCCACCCTAAAAACGGGTTGCAAGGTGTGAGTGCCTGAAGTCCTATTCTTAAAGTCTAGATGGTGCCACTGAAAAACAAGAAACGCACCCTCGACCTTAAAATTTGCTGGGTTTCACCATGCAGACTTGCTGATATTGGCAAATGACATTCGAAACAACAGCAATAACAAAAAATTTTCCGATAAAGCTCATTGAAATGAGTTTACATATTCACAAACACTTCAATATTTGAGTTTCGTGCGAAACAAATTTTTTTAGTGGTAGGGAAATAAAGTCAAAATTTTTAAAACAGATAGAATTTTTATAAGACTTTTGAGCATGATGATTGCTTAATCTGGCATTTAATATGTCGGTTTCAATTATATGTAGTGACAAATAAAAATCTTTTAATTCTTATTGATTTAGTAGGAAGCTAAGCCTCCTATTCGCTGACGACACATCATCAGGGTGCAATAAGTGTTTCTTGGTATAAAATAGTTGAAATGATTCAACTAAAGAGAGCACTTGTCCCGCCACTTCCAATTTGTTTTCCTTTATGATACTATTAGGATCTATATGTGAGCATAAAATCATTTTTCTATGTAATCATTTTTTGAAATAGCATTTAAAATTAAAAGTGTATTGTTATAACAAATTTAGTGAGTTCACATAACTGCAATATATATTTGCTTACCAAACGGACGGGCGTGTTTTAAATGTAATTCATCACTTTGTGCATGAGGCTGAAAGTTAAGTTCTAAATCATTTAACTCTGTTTAACCGCAATTCTTAATAGTATATTAATGTAATTTGCACCAAAAAATAAATTTAAAATAGTTAATAAGATCAGACACCGATTAAAATAGTTTTATCTTAAAATGTAACGAAGAATTACATTATTCTAATAATAATAAAAACAATCCTCCTAAACTCTTTACTTAGAAATCAAACAAAATCAAAAGCATAATAATAACTGTGTGGGTAATTTTAACCTTTAGATCAGGGAAACAAAAATATTTATAGGAAAACAATAACTTTATGACTGATGACAACGAAATCAATTAATGTGGGTAAACTGATCATGCCATGTGTTTTACCAGCCAATAAAAAATTATTATTACCTGCAACAATTACAAATTACAACAACAATGGAGAATTGTGACACCATCACTAGATATTAAGAAATATTAATGCATCAGTGGAAAAACAATTTTCTTAAAACAAGGGAAAATGTATGCTTACAACATCCATATCTGTGACAACAATACTGAGTCCCGGAAGTGGTGTATTCATTCCTATGTCTTCTGAGATGCTCACATTGAAGTCATGTCCACTGAAGATGGGTGCCTCGTCATTCACGTCTCCAACTACTATAGTGATGTTGGCCGTTGATGACTCTCCCACGGGCAACCCATTCACCAACTCTATAGCCTATTTCAAAAGAAAGAATTCAATTTAGAGGCTTAGCAATAACGGGAGCAGTGTACCGCGGAACCCTGTGGTTCCGTCGAAGGGTCACGAGGACTCCAAGGATTTCAAATTCCTTAAACTATTTTATAACAATCGTTGAACAGCTGACCCAATTTTGAACTTACGGCTACCACTGCGTAGCCTTATAATTTTGAACTCAATCCAGATAACTAGGGAACTCCTGGATCAAGTTTTGGGAGAAATTTGCCTGACTTTTTGATAGAACTAACTCGCATTAGTTCTATTAAAATCATGGAGAGGAGCGGTTAGTCTGACTGCAAAAGGACTCTAACCCACGATCCGTCTACCACTGAGGATATTTTACGTCAGCACTTTGGTGGGTATGAGCCGGGTACGAAATTCGTATCGACCAGCCATCGCTGGGATTCGAATCCGGTTCATCTCATTGGAAGGTGAGCGATCTATCCTCTGAGCCATCACGGCTCTCTTCAAACGATTCATGATTTTTTAAAACCTGTTATTATACTTATAACCAATTAAAAAATTGTCCTTTATTTGATATTTTATTTATTTTTATAAAAATCACTTAAGTGAACAATAATAAAGAAAAAATAAAGAAGGAAACTATTTTTTCCAATAACAATCTATGGAATAAATTACAAAAAGGCTCATTGCATTGGTAAAAATTGCTTTCTTATTTCTTATCGAACTTTTCAATTCAAGTATAAAATAACCAAATCGTTGAATGAATAAATATGTTTCTCTTATAACCATTCTTAACGTTTATAACAGTTCTTTTTCGAAAGCAGTTTTTTTTATAAACGAATAAAAAAAATCTTGATATTAATAAATGCAAGGCATTTCTTTCGCAGCGTTTCTCAAAATATGGAAAATGTCACAAGTTTCAAATATAAAATGAAAAAAAAAGAAGAATAAAGAAGCGTGAAATAAAGTAATTTTCAGAATATTTTAAATTATTCATAATAATTCCATTTTAATAATACACATGGGGTACAGTCAAGGAATATACATAGAGGAAGAATGCTAGCTTTCATAGCCATAATGTAAACCAGTCACCCAAAGCATAGTGTGGTCCCTGAGTATAAAAGAAAAAACAATATTTAGCGACACAGCAGCTGAAGTTCTTGAAACGGGTTTCCACCCTCCTCTCCTCTCAACCACTACTGGTGTTGGGGAGAAGAAAAGTTCTCTTTTTGATTATTATTCGTTTGTTCTGAATTTTTGCACTATTGATAAATGGTACTGTACTGTTAATAAACTTATTCCCTTAAGATACCATTATCATCCATGTTGATTAAATTTGCTAACATATTTTGACATAGAAAGGAAGAATAAAGCGGTGCTTGGCATTAGGCAGCGCACCCAATAATACATTTAGAGTTGCCCAAAAACTGGTTCGCAGATGACATACCTCCTGTCAGGCACTTTGCTTCTTATGCACAAGCGCTGGATCATAGTACATATAATGCTGTGTTAAATCTGAGTATATGTTGATCACCCTGTAAGTTGTTTTTCTGGTACAGCATACCTTGTTCCCCGCGTTAGTTAAGCATTCTAAGAGCTGGAGTTCTCCTTTCTATATTCTTTGGTACAGTTTGGACAACAAAAGAAAAAGGTTATCAGGTGGTGACTGGAAAATATTTTTTAATCGTCTTTTGTTATATTTATAGTTACCCTTTCCCCAATTGCGACACTTAATTTTGTCCTAAAGTGAGATGCCTTAATTTTCTGTTCCTTTCAGGAAGTCAGTAAGCCTGTATACAACTTCGGCAGACTAATTAACTCCAATTTTATCTGCATTCTAAGAGCGTTCTAAGAGCTGCTTCAAGAAAATGAAGCCATTAGAATGAAGTTTATGACAATTAATACATGCCGTGAGACATTGTTCCTTTACCTTAATCTGAAAAACATAGAGTCCACCATTATCCAATATTCCTGGGTCTTCTCTGTCAATTGGATTGCGTGTCTCCAGAATTGTTGTGTACAGCTTACGATCGTCGCTCACCACATTGCCGAGCTTGAAATATTCTTTTACATCTGATAGAGGAATAAAAGTTAACCATATAAGAAAACAATTACAGTAATAAAAAACAAACAACTATTATTTAAACCCTGGAATCAAAAGGTAGAAGAATCTTTCAGCATAAAATAATGGGTAACAATTTTAAAACGCTTTTTTAATTTCTTTAAATTGTGGACACCGTGAAGTTCTAACTCAGTACAATATTTATAATGGTTGTGAAATAACAATAAAAGTAAGCTTAATTTGATTAATTTTTTTCAGCTCTTAACTTATACAACGCGGATAGCAGGCCTTAGATATATATAGTATTTAGTTTTATATATAGTATTCATTCGTTCGTTCGTTGTAGTGGATCTGGGAGTCTGAGGCCTTACGGCCCTTTTCCCATATATATAGTGTTGTTCAAAATTATTGCAAATCAAATTTATAAAACAAAATTTAAAATGGTCAAGTATTGTTTTCTGCTGCTATTTTATATATTTGCAGTAGTTACAGTGTCCTATAAAAAAGAATTAGGATGATGTAGTCGATTTAGTTAAAATTTTAAATAAAACTTTTAAATTTTACTCTATTTTAAAAATCTGTGGTCAATTTTATGACTATATTGTTAATATGCCGTAGTAGCTACCCCAAACAAACGAAAATAATTATCCCTTCATGTTTTCTGCCCTTACATGTTAGTTACGTCGGACTACTGAATTAATTCGTGCCCTCCTTCTTCGATGGAGTGCCTTCAAACCAGAGACTAATAGAGGGAACCGCTTCACGCTTCAAGGCAATCGATGAGTAATACCGATGAATTCCGTAAGCGAGGACATGCTTAAAAGTATGATTCACTGTTTTGTAAATTAGATCTTAAGTTATTTTCTTCATCACTTCATGTAAATGATTCAAAACTTCATTTGAAACGCCACTTTTCATATGAAGCATTCACATTTCATATGAAGTATTCATGTTTCACTCTTGTGGCAAAGTTATTAAAAATTCTTAAAGCTTTAGTTTTTAGAAGTCTACTACTCCATGAAATGTTTCTCAAAAAACGTAGCAGCTGGCAGTTCTACGTAGTCCTGTAATTTTTATAAAAGTAAATGCTGTCAGAAATATGCAAATTAGTTACCGTTTTCGGCGGGGAATAGTGCTTAGAATCATGGAATAAAATTAAATCAGCAAAAAAAAAGAAGTCAAATCATTTTGACAACAAATGAATCCAAAACATTTTATTTCATATTTAATTTCCATTTCTATTTTATTTCTATTATATTATTCCTAGATTTCTATTTCTATTATTATTTCTATTTTTATTTCCACTTGAACTTTTGCAGTTGATAATCAACTTTCTTAAAAAGATTAATAAATATAAAATAAATGACTTTCCATCATTTTCCATCAATCAAACTCAAAATTGGAAATTTAATAGAGATTCTTTAAACTCAAACAATTAAAATAATCTATAAATATCTATTGTAGTCATTGGATACCTTGAGTTTGAAGAATATCAAACTCAAGGTGGCTAATTGTTTAAAAAGTGTATAACTGAAGTGAAATTATCAAATATTACATTCCTGTTAAAATAAGACGGTTTACTGGAATTGCTTAGATATTAGATTGAAATATAGAATTGCCGTGGAAGGAACTATAGTTATTTACCTGTATTTCTTGTTACGGATGTGTTACGCTACATTCATACGCCAGCAAAATTAAAAGTACGAAACATTTGCTAATAAATTATTCCACTCAAATTGTAAAATAATTTGTTAGTGGAAAAAAATACTTTGACATCATTTCAAAAACAATAATTTTAATTTTTTATTTCAAAAAAATTGCTTTTTATATTAGTAATAAAAAATGTAAAGAAAATAAAATATTTTCAGGACACTTTAATCGTTTCGAATTATTTTTAGGCTAGCGAAATATGATAATATTGAATTTAGTACCGTTTTCTATGAGGAGTGTTAGGTCACGTGGTTCACCGCCATCTCCGTCTTTGACAGCCAAATTCAAAACAGAAGAACCCTGGAAATAAAGATGATTTTTAACAATTTTTGTTCAACATCAAAAAAATATATTAAAAATTCCAATTATCATGTTTTTTCTCGTAGTAGATTTAAAAGGAAAAAAAAACTATAATTATAATTTTGTATCGCAATATTTGTTACTGCTCAAAATGATAACAAAATGAAATAAAGTCTATGTTGAAAACGAAATCAATGCTTAAGTTAATTCTTTTTTACTTTATTTTAAACACATATCTAAACCACAGTTGCATCATCATACTCAATAAAAAATTTCTGGGAGCTTTTTTTCATCCGTCATGAAAGTTTTGACCTTAATGAGCTATTTTCTAGTAAATGAAATGCAAATTTGGGTGAAAAGAACAGTGGAATATTTTGTATTCTAGATTAAGATTAATCGCAACAAAAGTAGGCAGCGTGAGCTTTATGTATTTTTATCCAGTTTTCAAATGTAAAATTTAATCATTCTGCGGCATCACAATTGAATGCTTCTTTTAAAAAAAATTTGGATTTGTATTTTTTTAGTATTGGCCTTGTATTGGCTTTGTATTTAATGATCATACCTACAAAAATTTCTGCTTCTGGCATCATTTTTTTTTAAGTAGCCGACTCCGGTGACCAATTGGTCCGTCTTTTTGAGTAAAAAAAATTTTAAGTTTTTTTTAGATTTAAAATTGTACATTCAAATATATATATA